TGGTATTTAACAACATGTGCTTTTTTTTCCAACCGGGACCCTTTCAGGGATATTCTAACTATAGATCTTGCCAGGGCCTGACAACTCGGCTCCCCGTAAAGGGAGCATAGCCAAAAAGCTCGACGGGATTCCAGAATCCCGTCGCCATCCCCCTGTGTGGGGGACACCCCGGAAAGCGACCGGTTGTGCTACTATAGTGTGTAAGGTGTGCACTCTGTGTGAAATATATGCTCTGTATGGTAAAGAAACCGAATATGTGAATATAATATGTATGGTGTTTACTAAATTTGAAACATATGCTATACATGTAAATGATCTCAAATATGTGAATATAATATGTATGGTGTTCACTATAGTTGAAACATATGCTATATATGTAAATGATCTGAAATATGTGAATATAATACGTATGGTGTTTACTAAATTTGAAACATATGCTTTATATGTAAATGATCTCAAATGTGTGAATATAATATGTACGGTGTGTACTATGTCTGAAACATATGCTATAGATGCGAAGGATTTCAAATATGTAAATATAATATCTATGGTGTTTACTATGTCTGAAACATGTGCTATATATGTGAATGACCTCACATATGTGAATATAATATGTAATTATGGTGTTTGCTATGCTTGAAATATATGCTGTAGATGTGAAGGGTCTCAAACATGTAAATATAATATGTAATATGTACGGTGTTTACTATGTTTGAAATATATGCTATATACTTTAAGGATCTCAAATAGTGTATGCCTGGTGGCACAGCATAGTGATCTCCATGCTCAGCTGCGCGGAGAACCCGGTCAATGGTAGCCACGTCACCCATGACGCAGCTGCAGGCTGCAGCACTAAGGCTGTTGGAAAGTAAGTTTGGGAAAAGAAAAACCAACCACCACACAATGGTGATTCAGTACCATCAACAATAAAGGTTATTCGTTGACTTTATAGATTCCTGTCTCTCAGACACGGGGCGACATGCCCAACCAATCTGTTTGTAAATAATAAACCAATCTTGTTCAAATTGTATCTGAATTTGCGGTTTGCAATTTCAATCTCCAAATTTTGTTGATTGTTGGTGACCTTGGGCCATGCTGGGACACAGAAAACAAATCATATTTGGGAATCACTTGTTTGAATGGCGTGCAGCCAACCAACCGCAGAAATCAAAATGATCGCAAATCCATATTCTATCTTTGGTTTGGGGCACCCCAAAAAGAGCGTGGGCCATCAACCGTCCTGAACCCCGTGCAAAACAAAAAAAAATGGCTCAAATTTATGGACCCTAGACTGTAATGGCTTCATTGAACCACATAACTTTGAGATATAATATCAATTAATTCGAGCCATTCCCATATCTGATCCTGTTTGTTTTCAGTCGCGCTCACAGCTTCAAACTGTTTTGTGTGTTTGAAATGCCAGCCTACGAACTTCTGTGCGAGTTTGGCCACGAAAAGCAGCAAACAAAATGTTCAAAGGTCGGTTATGAAACAGTTGTAGGTTGAAACAAAACGTGTTCTGCTGCTATCGTTAAGCCTGACGTAAAAATGCAACTACACAAAGTTAGTCTTCAGAGTCCAAAATACTCTGGTCACAATTGTTGGTCTCTAGATTCTCTACCAGAAACCCACGATCTTGCAACTCTTTGAAAACTTTCCACTGTTCCTCAGACAGTGCTACCCTCAGAGATTCCATCTCACATAGTCGCATGTAAAGTTCTCGATCAGGAATGCCGGTAAGAGATTCTGGTAACCCTTCAATGGTAGCTTTGCACCCATCCGGAGTATTCCCAGTTCCCAAGACATGAGCGTGAAGATGATTCATCCCGTACTTTTCTTGCTTCGATAACCTTTCAGAGGCTTCCTTAAGTTCTTCCAAAGTGGAAACTTTACAGAATGCCCCCATCCAGTCATGGGCCTGAGGAAGCTTGTAGTTCATGTTGCGAAGAAGCCTTTCCTTGATAGATCGAAGAGCTCTCCCCCTTTCAGAGCGCACCTTCTTCACCATAGGTCAGAAAGGAACAATCGGGCTGAGTTCAAAAAAAGGGGGCAACTAACGTAGGTGGCTTGAAGCCAAAACCTAGCATGCATCCCTGTGGCTGCGCAACCCTGTAGATAGAATATTTAGGAAGCACAAAACAAGGAAAACACTTCAAAACAGCCATGTGCAAGCCATTATACTTGAATAAGGCATACCAGTGCTAGGAAAGCTATGCAAAAGAAGGAATCCAAGTTCTTACTATCCAAAGTTCACAATTGCAGGTGTTTGAAAAGAAAGCTGTGAAAGGAAAAGGAGATGAGAAAAGTATAGAAAAGTAGGAATCCAAGATCGACCATCCAAAGTTCATTTCTGCTAGTGCTGTGCTAGGACAGTTGGGCAAACCTATAGATAGAATATCCTCTAGAACCATGAAAAGACTGAATTTTTAAGGGATGCTTGGAATTAAGCATAGATTTGTGGTGCTCCCTGCCCCTTCCTCCAAATCTACCCATCCAAATTTCATTCTTGGAGCTGTTTGAAAGCAAACTTTAAATGGAAAATGGCATTAGAAAGGTAGAAATCCAAGATCTTACCATCCAAAATTGAAATTGCAGGTTTTTGAAAAGAAACACCGAAAGGAAACTTGGATGAGAGAAGAAGGAATCCACGATCTTACCATTCAAAGTTCAGTCTTGCAGGTTATTGAATAGAAAGCTGTGAAAGGAAAAGGAAATGAGACTGAGACAAGTATAGAAAAGTATAGAAAAGTAGGAATCCAAGATCGAACATCCAAAGTTCATTTCTGCTAGTGCTGTGCTAGGAAAGTTGGGCAAAATTATAGATAGAATATCTTCTAGAACCATGAAAAGACTGATTTTTTAAAGGATGATTGGAATTAAGCATATATTTGTGGTGTTCCCTGCCCCTTCCTCCAAATCTACCCATCCAAATTTCATTCTTGGAGCTGTTTGAAAGCAAACTTTAAATGGAAAATGGCATTAGAAAGGTAGGAATCCAAGATCTTACCATCCAAAGTTGAAATTGCAGGTTTTTGAAAAGAAACGCCGAAAGGAAACTTGGATGAGAGAAGAAGGAATCCACGATCTTACCATTCAAAGTTCAGTCTTGCAGGTTATTGAATAGAAAGCTGTGAAAGGAAAAGGAAATGAGACTGAGACAAGTATAGAAAAGTATAGAACAGTAGGAATCCAAGATCGAACATCCAAAGTTCATTTCTGCTAGTGCTGTGCTAGGAAAGTTGGGCAAAATTATAGATAGAATATCTTCTAGAACCATGAAAAGACTGATTTTTTAAAGGATGATTGGAATTAAGCATATATTTGTGGTGTTCCCTGCCCCTTCCTCCAAATCTACCCATCCAAAGTTCATTCTTGGAGCTGTTTGGAAGCAAACTTTAAAAGGAAAATGGCATTAGAAAAGTAGGAATCCAAGATCTTACCATCCAAAATTGAAATTGCAGGTTTTTGAAAAGAAACACCGAAAGGAAACTTGGATGAGAGAAGGAATCCACGATCTTACCATTCAAAGTTTAGTCGTGCAGGTTTTTGAATAGAAAACTGTGAAAGGAAAAGGAGATGAGAAAAGTATAGGAAAGTAGGAATCCAAGATCGACCATCCAAAGTTCATTTTTGCTAGTGCTGTGCTAGGACAGTTAGATACAGTTAGGCGAACCTATAGATAGAATATCCTCTAGAACCATGAAAAGACTGATTTTTTAAAGGATGCTTGGAATTAAGCATATATTTGTGGCGCTCCCTGCCCCTTCCTCCAAATCTACCCATCCAAAGTTCATTCTTGGAGCTGTTTGAAAGCAAACTTTAAATGGAAAATGGCATTAGAAAGGTAGGAATCCAAGATCTTACCATCCAAAGTTGAAATTGCAGGTTTTTGAAAAGACACACCGAAAGGAAACTTGGATGAGAGAAGGAATCCACGATCCTACCATTCAAAGTTGAGTCGTGCAGGTTTTTGAATAGAAAGCTGTGAAAGGAAAAGGAGATGAGAAAAGTATAGAAAAGTAGGAATCCAAGATCGACCATCCAAAGTTCATTTTTGCTAGTGCTGTGCTAGGGCAGTTAGATACAGTTAGGCAAAACTATAGATAGAATATCCTCTGGAACCATGAAAAGACTGAATTTTTAAAGGATGATTGGAATTAAGCATATATTTGTGGCGCTCCCTGCCCCTTCCTCCAAATCTACCCATCCAAAGTTCATTCTTGGAGCTGTTTGAAAGCAAATTTTAAATGGAAAATGGCATTAGAAAGGTAGGAATCCAAGATCTTACCATCCAAGGTTGAAATTGCTGGGTTTCGAAAAGAAGCAACCGAAAGGAAACTTGGATGAGAGAAGAAGGAATCCACGATCTTACCATTCAAAGTTCAGTCTTGCAGGTTTTTGAATAGAAAACTGTGAAAGGAAAAGGAGATGAGAAAAGTATAGAAAAGTAGGAATCCAAGATCGACCATCCAAAGTTCATAATTGAAGGTTTTTGAAAAGAAAACTGTGAAAGGAAAAGGGCATGAGAAAAGTAGGAAACAAAGATTGAAACGAAAATGGCATGAGGAAAGCTGGAATCCCACGATCTTACCATCAAAAGTTCATAATTGAAGTTTTTTGAATGGAAAACTGTGAAAGGAAAAGGAAATGAGAAAAGTAGGAATCTACGATCTTACCATCCAAAGTTCATTTTTGCAGCTGTTTGAAAAGGAAACTTTGAAAGAACAAATTGAAATTAGAAGGTTTTGAAAAGGAAAGGAAAAAAATACATTTTGAGCATCCTGGAGTAGATTCTTGAATATTCTATCTAGGGGGTCCGAAGATATAGTTTAGTATTGGGTCAAAAAACCCTGGTGTTTTTCAAAAAAAAAACGCCCCCTACGATACGGGATTCTATCTACTCCAGGATTGTTATATATATATATATATGCATATCATTTTTGGGGTGGCTATAACCAACTATACACCAGCTCCATGGCCCATATGGCCCATCTAAGCAGGAGTTGCGCAGCTACGAGCAGCTGCTTCGCTCGCATGGCGCCGTCCTCGACGACTTGGCGGCCGAGTTGGACGCGGCGGGTGGCCGGGGAGTCTTCGCGCAGCGGGACTTTCAGGTCGGGGGGAAATTGTGGTTTTAGCTGAAAAGTCCACATGAATGGTGGAAAAGAAGTCTTGTTAAAGAAAATGCTGGGTTAATGAGATTTCATCAGCTAATCATATCTAATCATCAGGTTCCCTAAAATGGGGAGGCGCAAAATCATGCAAAAATGTGGGTGATATGTGGGTGTTCTAATGCGGAAAATAAGGCAAAATTAGATAAAATTAGGGTCCCCATATTGAGAAACATCTAAGACATTTGAGATGTGCGAACCCAAGAACACAAATGGATGTAGACGGTCAAAGCACATTCAGAATCCAGGTAACCTGGTGAATGAAGATCAGAAAACTGTGAAAATGCACGTCAATCAATCCAAATTATATAAACAATATTAAATACATTCAAATACATGTTGAGTTTTGTGATATAAATGGAGCTGGGGATGGGTCAATACGACCTGCTCATTCTTGAAATGGTCACAGGGAGGGATTTGGGGGTCAAAAATTGAAGGAGTTCACCAGGTTCACCACAAGATTCAACCAACATGCTTGGTCATCCATATTCATCCCATTTTGGGGTATGGAATCGAGAGATTGGTTGAAGCCCCACATTCTTAGTATGAAGCGGTTCCATATTTTAGGGCTACCAACGGCGACCCATACCCAAGCGATGAAGGTTCTGCTGACTATGGAATCCTTTTGTTTAAAACGATCCTTTCGCAGCCATCAGTTTGACTCCCGAGAATCTCTGCTTCCAGGAAGGCGAGTTGGTGCTGCGCATTCCAGGGGAGTTGTGTTTGCAGACGCCTTGGTCTCATGGCGCTGGGAGGACCAACAAGAATTGTAGACACTGCATGCTATTTGTAACGGCTGTAACGGTAGGAGAAGCAAAGGGTGCAATTTTAGGATCCCAAGTTTAACACATACCATAGGACTATAAGCATTTAATGTTCAGTACCCTCCGGCCATCACATGTGTCAATGGGAAAAATGTTTTCTTGTGGGAACATTTCCAAGCGGATAGAAGTGGCGCATGTGTCATTGCCAGGCTGGATTGCCGGCAAACTATATCCCAGTCCAATCACGCACGCTTGATTGATACTTCACCCAACGATAGTATACGGCATAATCTCAATTTGAATGGGCTGGCAGATAAGGGTTCCCATACTATACATCTAGAAGGAGCTATTCAATACTTACTGCAGGACATCATAATCTCAAAGATCGACCATAAATTAAATCAGGTTGCTACACCAACTGCATCATACTTACTTTGTTTGTTTTATGATTTTGTCGGTAAAGCAATTCCTTTTTTGGTACAGTAACAAACACCACGCATTAAAGCAATGGACTGTGCTACTGGTTTTCCTTTTCATACGTTCCCACAAGTCTGTTTTTTTCCTGGATTATTTGCTGAAGATGTTTAAATACTGGCATTCACTGTTGACTTCATTACAGTGAACCGGACTACTACACCAGTGGCATCATAGTTTTCGGTACCGCATGGGCAAATCCGATTACTGCAAATATATATATATAGGTTCTTCTCATTGCGGGGGAACCCCGCTCTAAATGACCATTCACTCCAATCAAACCCAGTCAAACCACACAATATTATTGTTGGTTGTGAGCCCATTATTCATTATAATACAATATATTGATTAGGTTTGTTCAATGCCCATGAAAGACTGTATTTATTATGTAATATATCGTTGGCCTCAATTGAGCAGCGTTCAAAATCCCTGTTGATAGATTACTATAGTGGGTTGTACTACGCGATATATTGGGGATTATCATCATCCATTATGACAATCTCTATTAACCAACCAGTGTAAAGGGACAGCATTTCGGGTTTGTTTAGAAACCCCCATAATTCACCATTGATATCCATTGATTAGGTTGGTTTAATCCCCGTTAAAGACTACATGACTCACTTGGGGTTTCTCAAGTGGAGTATTCCCAGGTCACCATGGGCGTCAGTACTAAAGTGATCTAATAGCTTGGAGGATCTGGGGTATCCCCGGTGTAGCGATATATCGTTGCCCAGTCACTGTCCGCCGGAAACCCCAGGTTGGCCGGCGACGGCCACACCGCCTCTGCACTGGCGCAGAAGCTGCTGGAGGAACGGCAAAGAGGTACTTGAAATGATTTCATCTAGATCTAATGGGATGAAAATGGAAAGCGGAATATGATATAAGATCATGGAATAATATGGAATATATAGTGGAATATGCTCATGGGATATGATTGGATTTTTGATGGAATAGAAAGAAGTTCATTTTGGTGGTCTGATCAAGAAAATACACAAAATGGTGGTCTAAGATCTAGACCAATGATATGGGACATACTGTTACGAGATAATCCCTGAATGTGAACCAACAATCGGTTCCCTTCAGGGCTTACTAAGCACCAAGCGGCGCGTATTGGTTTCCCCAGTTTGAAATCACCAAATCAGCAACGACCGAGGCACGTCTTCACCTTTCCATCGCTACCTCCAGCTGTTGCCGGAACTGCCACCCCTCCACCCGCTGGCCGCTGAGTGGCCGCCGCTGCGTGGCGCGTTGCGGCGACTCTACAGCGAGGTGGCCCATCGCGGCGGATGGAGAAGGGGAAAGCTGTTGGATCTGTTTTGAAGGGAAAAATTGGAGTCCAAAATGGAGACTTAGCTGATTGATTAGTTGGTGAACCATGGTTAACCAATGATATGGTTAATTGACATTAATTGCTGGTTGATGCTGGTTGATTAGTTGGTTAACCAATGATACTTTTGCTAATTAACATTAATTAACACCAGCCATCATGAACCAATGGTTATGTAGACTTCACCCATGATCCCTGTTTAGATCCTCATGTCGCCTGCCGAGGCGACCTGGTCGGGGAAATATAATCCTTGAAAGCGGCATCCATGGCTAACTAACTTAATTAGTCCGTTTGGATTTGGGATGACTTGGGGTGACTTGGGATGACTTCTCCCCCTTCGTTTCTGAACAGTCACCCTAAACAGGAAACATCAGGAAACTATTTCCTTGCCAGGTATGCCAGGTCCATGTGTTGTCTGAAGATTGCAAAATGCTCAGCCTTCTGGAGGTTCAACATGTTCAACGACTGACCAAAAAGATGTCTTCGGATTTGATGGTCGTATCAGCCCTGTAACTCCCCGTTGGTGTCGCCACTTGGGAGATGGCAAGCAGGCCCAGCAGCGCTTCGCAACGGAAGTACCTGAGCAAAGTGATGCCTCTGAGGCTGATACCGGGAACCTCCAAAGCTGTTATTTTTAATCGGGAATTTGATGTAAAACCATGAGGTGTTTGAGGTACACCATCTTTGAGGGAGGCAATTTCGGTGACTCAAGCATCAAGAAACGGAGGCTTGATCAGCGAACATGGTGATTTAGTAAATTGCTTGGGGGAACTTCCCACATCAAAAACGGATGGATTGCCCCATCCTAAAGGCGGATGGAACCATGAAAAATAGGGGAATTAAGGGGATTTAACCAATGAATGGATATGGGTGTTCCTGAAGACATGTGGATACCCCATCTTATGGCCACTAAAAATGTGGTAAATGATGATAACCCATGGGCGCTTGGGACTGCCAAGCGGTTATGTTTTAGGGACACCGGGCCACGGCACATGCAGATCTATCGAGCAACTTTTTGGGGAGAGATGGTATCATCAGCATAAATCTTGACATCAAATGGGCAAGAACTATGCAATGTTTTGGTCAGCAGTCATGAATGAGTTATCAACAACAACCAGGACGAACACAACAAGATGAGCACGACCAGCCACGATATTGTATCCCTATTATATATTATATGATTATATACATCAAAGTTTATTGTGTATCCATATCATATCCCCACGGCGTGGATGTTTGTCGGTTTATAAACCCATGAAACCACCTTGTAGCTGGGATAGTGGGTTTTCTTCCCCGCAATAACCACTGATGAAACTCAAAAATGGGAATATGTCATAATATTTCGTGATATCATGAAATTTGGCAATTGGCCACAGCTTGCGAAAATCGCAAAATGACAGGCCTTCCGCTGGGCACTGGGCATGGTTTGGACTCGAGCCTTTGCCTTTGGGTTCCTTTGCTGTGGGGTTGGGACATGGGGGGATTTTCCACCAGCCTATAGTCAATCATTGGGGTCAACATTAGTGTAAGATAGTGTAAGTTGCTGGTGAATACATTGGAATTAACATCAATAATTGGGGTGAATATCGCAATAAGTTGGGCTAATACATTTTAGTGAGTTGTTGTAACTCCATAATGAGAAGCGTCAAGCTCAAGTGTTCAAACCACCAGACACGAAGATGGAATTGTGATTTTTTCGGGTAAACTGTTCCACTTTATTCCATGTGCGGGTGCCTGTCTTTCAGATCTTTCAGCTATGACAATATCCCTTTTAGTACGATGTTGCCATACTGGTGGTTCATACGGAAACATATCAAGCTTCGGGTAATATATCGTAGTTTCTCTATGCGCGGGCAATGTTTCTGCGCCAGTCTTGGAAGCAGTGTTTTGCTAATGAAAGGATTGTAGTATGCTGTCATGGTTTGGAATTTGTTTGGATTGGTTGCAGCTTCGAGATTCATTGGTAGAATGGCTACCTGAATTTGGGCCGGTTGGACCACACCCCAACGTTCGAAACCACCATACTTATTGTAGATACTGTCCAAGCAGATCAAGCACAAGTTGACTTCCAACTTTGTCAGAGTCAGGCTATATTGAAGAGTATCTCCATGACCTCAAAATAGCTTTCATCCGCCATCCAAAAGCTCCGAGGGGATCTTTGGCCATGGTGCCGTATTTGGATCTCTTCAACCATTGGATCCCCCAGCATCGTCACACGGCCTGGAACTGGGATGTGTCCCTCCTCATTCTCGATTCTGTGACATGATGCTTACCAGAAATGAAGATATATACAGAATCATACAGATCATCAACACTCATCAACATCACAACCATCAATGGATTGGTTGAAGGAAAAATCTTAACCGCCGGAAACCATAGATGTTCCCATTAAGATCATGGAGCTTTCCGGTGTCAATGTTCCCAACATAACCAATCCATTGAAACCACCATCATCAACATCAACATCATCTGCCTCAACGATTTCAATCCAGCCTTGAGGTGAGGATCCTTTGTGGAATTGTCGGCTTCAGGATGCCGGCTTGGCGATCCCATGTCATGGAGATTGAAACATTGAAACCATTCATATTTTATAGGCAAACAAAAACGGCAAACCTTGGTTGAGTAGATTTATAACGATTTATACCTATACATTCTTTTGTGCCACTAGGGAGAAATGAAATGTCTTGGCCGTGTACATTTTGAGGTCCAAAATGTTGGCCATAGCCACGAGCAAATGGACATGGTGGTGTCCAACGGCATTTTTGATGATTGCCAATCCACTATTGAATACTATTGATGTGCGTTTCTCAACTTGCTATGAATATCTATGAATCCAGGGCCCCCCTTCTCAGCTGAGTGTTGGAAAGGTTTTGATGCAGATGGTTTAAGAACAGGGAAGAGGAGTGGGAAAGGGGGACCTTCAAAAGGATAAGGAAAACAAGTTTGTCCAATAAAAATGGGTACGTTGCCCCCTAATTTCGAAGCTCACAATGCCCTCCATTTGTGCTAGGAGTGGAGGGAAATTGATGCCATTGGACTGGTGGCTGACAGAGATATCGCCAAGGGAGAGGAGTTAAATCATTTGTACTCCGAGGCGCCATGTGTCAGCTGGGACAGAAACTATGAAACTATGGATGGATTGCTTTTCATACCTGAAAAGATTTAGATTAGGTGAAAAGAAATTGGACAAGGCAGCTGCAAATGTTTGTGAACTTCCCATGGCGGACGGCTAAGAAATTTGGCTCTCAGAAATTGTTCTTTTGGGTAAACAACCATTATTTCCAGTTAAATCTCAGTTTCAGATTGATTTTCGCATTGTGATGCTTAATTTCTCTGTCTGAGAAGACTCCAAGCAAAGAGAGACAAAAGCGATTTCCTACTTTTTTGTCGCGATTGCTGTTCAATCTTTTTGGGGGTATCACCAACTCCTCCCCCTTCATGCAAGATTCATTCACCCAACATGAATATTATGCCATCATCTACCGTCCTTGGCATGATGGCGCATTCAATGATTTAAACCTTGCATTTCGGTACATTGATTGGAATTTATTGATGATTAGCCGGTTAAGGTCGTTTAAGCCACTATCTATGGCCGGTACAAATTCCAAAACCTGGACAAAGTCCGAAGCAATACCCTACTTGGAAGCTGGGTGAATTTGCCGTTTTATATATACATATATATATAATCCTTTCCCATCATTCTAAAGGGCCTCATCCCAATTACAATATGTAATACTATAATGGCTAATTATCATATTGGCACATTTTCCATTAATTCCCATTCATGGATACCCTCCGGTAATCAAACATGGCAATGGAAAAACAATTGTTTATAGATGTTTTTCCCGTTATATAAAAACCTCCATTCAGTTCGGTGATTTTCAGTGCCAGGTTTGATTACCAGAGCGTACGTTATCATATTACATAGTATTATATCATGTGTGGGAATCAATTACGTAAGATATCATAATGTTATACTATGTTATACTTAATATCATGATATAATGATTCATTGGCCTTATGATGAATTGGCCTTATAGTATGGAATAATCATGATATTAACTATGATATCATGTAATGGAAAGCCATAATAAACCATCCCCAAAGTCACCATAAATAGGTGCTATAAACCATTCCCAGTCATGGGTGGTTTATGACAATGTTTTTCCCACATTAGTTAAATCCCCATTAAATCCCCATTAAATCCCCATTAAACCCCAATTTTCAATAGTTAAACATTACATATCAAAAAATCATCCCATTCCATGGCCTCGATGCAGGCCTCCGACGCCCAGCTGCTGGTGCAGCATGGCATTGCACCCCGGAAGCCGTCGGCCAATCCCTTCAACGAGGCGCCGGTCAAATGCAGCGGGGATCGAAGACGATACCATTCTTGTTTTAACCATAAAGGATGCCGACATGAATCAGAAACGCTACTTTAATGACATCTAAATGAGAAGATTTCATGGGATATCACTAACCAACAAAATTCCACCATGGGTGTGTTTGAACATCTGCATACCCCCAGTCGGGGCCATTTTGGTAGGGAAAAATCAGAAAGAATATGATAAAAAGTCAAACCCGTCAAACCCTATTCTTAGACACCCAAAAGGGTGAAGATTGAAAGTTCCAATGTTTGAGGAATTCTTAGTCACCAAATGTCACCAATATGTTTGGATGAAGCTATGGCTGGCGATGGTTCAGTCTGCTCACGAAGCATGCTGACAAATCACGTGCTAAATGCCACAACTTAAGTTCAGTCGAATGGATCACAAAAAAATATTGATCTCAACATAGCTACGGAACATGGACATCCAAGCCATCTGACTGCATGAATCGGAAAAGGTTCTTCATTAACGTATTTTGTACCGTTTACCTTACGCATGGGGAAAACAACATGTTCGTCGATCTGAAGTTTCGGGTATTTTAAGCCAGCCATCAAGATTTCTCCATGCCAAGCATGCCAAGCCCCGGATATTCCACCTTCAAATCCTGTTCATCACCAAATGTAGCCTAAACAATCAACATCAAGCGACCAGGCCATGCTTGAAGTGGACCTACCAGACGACCTTCGCACGGAGGTCGCGGAACCAGGAACATCCAGGAACATCCAGGAACCAGAGGGACGATGGCGGGTTTACCGTAACAAATAGAGGTTTTTTCATGTTCGCTTCATCTTCATTTGGCTTTTTGGTGACTGAGTTCATATAAAATCATATATATATATATATACAGTTTCAAATAATCATAATAATAGTAATAATAGATATATAGATATAGAGTGATATAGATTTGTATATGTACACATGGAATCACATGGACACATATGCACACGGGCCGCGAAAGTCCCCACCACTCCCGGCGTGATGCGAAACCACCAGGCGCCATTGGTGGACTTCGACTGCGAGTTTCGGCTTCCAGGGGAGGTTGGGCTGTTGCCGAATTGTTTTTGCCAGATGGATATGGGTTTGTCCAGCATTGTGCGAAACCCAATAATGAACCATTTGGAGATGATAGTAACTACCCATCTATAGTGATTTTGGGGATGATTTATTGGGTTGGTCCAGCATTAACAGACTTGAATGGGAAACAGACTCCAGGAATCTTAGCATATGGCAACCATAGGCTTGGCTGAATTTTGGGGCATTGTACTTTTAAGTTGGCAACTGTGTGGCAACACGACCCATTTTTCTGCGCGTCAGAAGCGGCAGGTGAAGCGCTTGCAACAGCTGGCAGCACTGGTGCAGGCTGGTCTGGGATGGTGATGGAACATAAATGACCCTGGTGCATCATTAAAATCATTAAATTACAATCATTTGGTGGAATGGATTTTCAGGCCAGTGATGGATTCATGGATTCTAGTCTGGAACCATCTTATGAAACGTCCATATTTTTAGAGTGGGGCAACTTGTTCTGGATCAGTAACTGAACAGTAGTTACCTGGTCACCACGTGGTCACCCGTTTTCTCATCAACTCTCAGGGTAGTGGTTTCCAAAAAATACTTTGAAAAGGAGGATTATTCTTATATCATTCTTAAATCACTCCAGGTATATATGGTATATATGTGGTATATATGTGGTATATATGTGGTATATATGTGGTATATATGTGGTATATGTTTTCCTTTTTTGGTAGGTATTGGGTGTGTGTGCCTTTAGTTGTTTTATCCCTGCTGCTACACGCCTTGTGTAGGCGAAGATGGATGGATCTGCAACCCGGCCTGCCGTGCCAGGGTTGACCCCAGTGGGACTGGATGGAGAAAGATGAAAAAAGTTGAGGCCCCCAAGTTCTGCGGTACTATACCGGGTACCCTCTCGTAAACATACAAACAACTATGGAAAATCACCTTTTTTCGGGTGGTAAATCAACTATTTCTATGGCAATTTTCAATAGCAAACTGTAAACGTATACCGTATACCAGAGGGTAAAGGACCCCAGCCCCTCCTAGCAAGACAGTTTCAATATGTCAATTTTATCTTGGGGTGCCAGCAAGACTTTTTCAGGCGACGATGTCCTCCTCTGAGCACCTTGGATGAATCATTGACACGGATCACGTGGACATGCAAGGTCCCCCTCATCCAACATCTTCATCCAATAACATCATCATTCGGTCACTCCTGATCATACATATGATTTCATTAGATTCCATTCGTCAATTCCTTGGGCAAATATATATACACATATACTGTATATATATATATATGTATACATATATATATAATTATATATATGTGTGTGTGTGTGTTTTTACAACTGTTTATTTGTTCATGCGTATATAATATTATATTATGTTATGCTGTTATGCTATATTATATTATATTATATTATGTTATATTATATTATATTATGTTATATTATATTATATTATATGTATAAACTATACTATATATACACATCATGAAGATGTTATCTTACCCAAGGCAACGTGAGCAGTTGCTGCGCCACTGGCTGCATGAAGAGGAGATGAAGCTGCTGCACTTTGCCGAGGCCAGTGGGGCGCGACCTCTTCAGCAGTCGGTCGCGTCTATGGATGGGTCATGGAGCTAGTTACCCTCTGGTAATTTAACATAGCTATTGAAAATTACAATTTATAGTTGATTTTCCCATTAAACATGGTGATTTTCCATAGTTATGTTAGTTTACCAGAGGGTAACTAACTAATCAGAACCAAAGGTTATTGATTGGTAATTGGTTGTTGTTCACTGAATTTAACTGACATTTTTTATGTTTTTTTCGCTGGATCTTAAGTGGGTTACAATAAGCCACTTGTGATCACCAGTTCACCAACTCCGTGACCCATCGAAGTAGGAATCAACAAAGGATGAGGCTTGAACATGCTTGAACCAACGTAGCACATTTTCTTGGGGATTGGCATACCCAGTGAGTGAGCCTGCTATAGCTGCTATGATTATCGAAGAAAAAGTGGCTTAGGGAGAAAGCCTTGACAGAAGGATGGGCGTTTAACCTGTCATGGGTTGGTGGTCGACGCAAGCCACTTTCTCAAATTTCGAAATGAAGTCAGCAAAAAGCCAACAGTTCAAGCAACGGCTATGTCAATCAGAAAAGATCCATGAAAGGCTTTGAGCAAAGAACAACCATCAACAACCTTTCTGGGCCTTGTGCATCACCTCTACATGTGCTTGAATATGCTTGAATCATGCTGACCCGTGTGGGCACAGTGCCGAGATTCTCGGCCAAGGCAGAACTGGACACTGCAGCAGATTTGGCGAAAGCCTTGAAGGACATCGTCACTGAGGTGCAGCAGTGCAGCCTGAGATTTTGCCGCAGCTGCAGCTCGTTAGGGGCTGCATTGTAAGTAGGTCATTATGATCCCAAGGAAATGGGATACCTTGAGATGTCATGACTGGTGGATAATAGGCCATGGATGGCCATTGTAGATTCGTTTGGCAGGCCATGGTTTGGGCCAGAAGCGTCCGCACAAGATCGATAAGGGAACATTCAAATATCATGCACAGTTTGTTTTGCTGGATGTTCACCACGAAAGGCATGTGTTAAGATTCAAGTATTGCAGGTTTCGATCCGTCTTGTATGAAATCGCGTCAGAAAAGTGTTTAAGATGGGGATTGTTTGTTACTTTGAAAAATGCATAGGTTAGATAAAAGTGACGGTTGTCTTAAACAATGGGTGATTTGGACCAGGAAGCTGCCTTGTTGCGCCGCCTGCAGCTGCCGCGTGGAACGCGAAGTACCCGGCTTCTCTAAAGCTACTGGGAGTGGCAACGGTGGCAGATCGCAGGACAATCTCCGCATTTTGGATAGAACCAGAGAGGGACAGAGAGAAAGGCTCGTTTGGTCTAGAGAGATATCAAGAGACGTAGATATAGAATGATATAGAATGACACACACACAGAGAGAGAGAGAGATTATATAGAATGATATCGACATGATGGAAATCATTTGCTCAATAACCCTATGTGATCCCTTCTAGCGATTTCACCGCTATTTCGCGTTTTTGTCCTTCGGACATTCTGTGAATCCCTGACTTTCAGGACACCCAAATGTCGCAGTGGCCTTGGCAGACCTGGTGGATTTCATTGGAAACATTTGGAAGCACCGGAACTATGAGAGGATGCTGGTCATGGTGATGGTGATGGGGATGCTCTCAAATGCTCTTGCAAGTACAACTAGCTCATCATGGAGGTTGTCCACGATGAGCATCGGATGCCACGTGCGGATGCCGATCCATCAAAACGCGCTGCGGATTTGTGTGCGATGGATTTTCTGCTTGCTGATTTCAGCTTACTTGATCTTACTTGAACAAGCTCAGATGTGAACAGCGCTGAAAAAATTGCTAGAAAGGCTTGGAGGTGCTTGGATGTGCTCGGGGTACCACCGAACAGGCTGCTGTTGCAAGTGGTGAAAGGCTTCGAAGATGGAGTGCTTTTTCGGTAGACGGAGATGATTCAATGACAATGGCTCCAACTCACCGATATTCTTGAAAGTGATCATAGCAGCTTGTTGCTGTCACTTTTTTGTTGGATGCACCAAACCAAACCCGAATACATGCTGCATGGCGGTTTCTCAAAATTAAGACTTGGACTCAGCATTTCTAGAATGCCACCTGCAAACATGAAAAGGTGTATGACACACGACTGTCCAGTGAGGCTCCATAGTCTACCTCAACCAACTGAGCGAAGCTTAGTTTTGTAGTTTAAAGATGTTCAAGGGCGTTAGTTTGACCAATAGATGGAGGAAATTCATTGGGTGTCTAAAGTTGGCATGAGAAATACGAGAAGTGCTGACGCCAAAGCCATGCCTTGCAGCCAGATGTTCATTTTTTCCGGCAGTTCAATTTGGGTACCGGCCGTGCGCATCAGTTTTTCAGATCTCATTAGATGTTAATTGCTATGGAAGTGTAATGATTTATACACGTTTGCATAGTATGATATTCATATGTAAAAACCCGTTACTTTAATACTTTAATACGAATGTAATGGAATGTTATACGTTGTTATACCAATATCTATATATATATACCAATATTGGGCCCTGATCTCAGCTTATAGACTATTCAAAACTCGCAAACAATGTGGGTCACCAGGACCAAACTTCCGCCTTGGCTTCGACATTGCGGAAGCTCTTTGCACCTCAGCTGAAGCTCTGAGATCTCACCACGTGCGGGGCAACCTTGGGGCTGATAGATTTTTATCAACCATACAACTGTAATCAACTGTATAACTATAGATGGTAAATATGTTTTGTGTTTTATGTTATATCTTAGCTGAATCCCAAAAGCCTCCAGGGCTTCTGTCTATAGGAGTTGACGAGGGGGTACGTATACATATCCTAAGTGGCCGCGCATGCAAAACATATGTAAAACTCATATGAAACATAGATTTTTACGCTGGTGGAACGTATGTGATGCGTATGTGAAGCGTATGTGCAGCGCAAGTGAAAATATGCGAGCCGTATGTGAAATATATGTGAAACATATGCGAAATACATGTGATATATTAACGTATTTTGGGACTGGATTGCGTTGTGTTTATGTTTTACTTGTGTATACGTTTGCGAATTTATGTGTTTTTTTATGTCGGAGGAAAAATAAGACCTTATTTTGTGCAAATCACGCAAAATAAGGCCTTATTTTGGAACGCACGTATAGAAAACATAAACAAAACGCAAACGAGAGCGCAAACACATTTTGTAACGTTTGTGTTTGTACATGTGTATATGGTTTATGTTTTATTTATGTCGGGAGAAAAATAAGACCTTATTTTGGGCAAATAAGGCCTTATTTTATCGCTTACGTACAAGAAACGCAAACAGAAACATACAGAAAACAGCTAGTAACCACAATTTCTGGATATGTCGGGAATATGCGTTTTGTTTGCGTATTTGAAGCCGTTTATGTATGCGTATGCGCAGGCCAGTCCAAGACGGGCTCTATTGTGAAAGCCTTTGAAACCCTGCTAAGTTATATCAATCTATACTTTCTGTGTATACATGTTATTGTGTAAATATATTTGTATATGTGATCATAGATATTGAAGATACAAGTATACATGTAACATCACGTAACTATCGAGAAGCTTCACAGCTAAGGGATTTGATAATGCTGGGCTCACGGCCCCGGACACCGAAGGGCCTGAAAACTCCCCACTTTCGGGTTGGTGAAATCCTGGTCTTCGTTTGTGTCTTTCCAGTTTTTGCTTGTCAAAATCCAAATGCTGGTGAAAATCCCATTTTTGCTGGTGAAATCCCCATGTGTCAGTTTGAATGTTTGAATTACCCTCTGGTAAACTAACATAACTATGGAAAATCATCACCCCTAATGGATAAATCAACTATTTCTGTGGCAATTTTCAATAGCAAACTGTTAGTCATTACCAGAGGGTAGGCTTAGGGTCATCAACCTACCAACGACCTGCTCAACCTGCTCGCCTCGCCAGATCTCTCCCGAGCTGCCGGAGCTGCAATGTTTCCCAAGACAGGTGGCAGAGGTGCTGGGGCTGGGGAAATGGTGACCCGAGGCACCGAAAATCGGGGAATCCATGGGAATCCACCATCCCCAGTTATCAATGGTGAAGGGCCACTGAAAATTGGGGATGTTTATCTCAAAGGTTAAAAAAAATCATGGTTTTTGATGGTGAAAAAAATGGTGCGCCAACATTTCCAAACCATCAATAGAGGTTTGTCATTGGGCATACCAGGATGATATAACCCCCAGTCATGGTTTTTTAATGGGGTGTTTTTTAAGATGGGCTTCACCATGGTTCACCACATTAAGGTGGCCAACAACCATCAAAAATGGCAGATTGCTGTGGGAAATGGTCTGGTAACCGTAGTCGCTCAAGGATTTACCTATCACACACAACCCGCCGAAAATCGAGACGTTCAAAAACCAACTGGTGATCGGTAGTCTAGGACTATCTAACTAAGATTTTGCTAGAAATGGTGGTATACATAAGGAGGGGCAGTTTTGTTTTGATATCCAGTTATACCCCGGTCACCCTTCAATCAGAGGGAAAAGATGGTCGGGCAACCAACAAGCAGCTCAATCTCTGGATTTTTAACCTTGCACCGGAAAAAAACTTAGGAATTAAGATAAACCAAAGTATTGATGTAATCAGTCATATGGTTGTCTTCGTAGTTCCAACCATTTCTTTCGTAGGCAATCATCAATAGCGTCATGAAAGACCACCATTTGCCGATGGAAGCTCTCCCAAGATGTGATAAGGGGTAGATTGGAGTAGCTAAAAAGAAGGGTTCACCAAGCAATCAGGATGGATAAAAACGGAGATTTGGCCCTGCGAAGGGTAGGCTTTCTCAAAAAAATGAAATTCAATTTCAATCCTTAGCAAAAATCCAATTCTCAAATCCAAGTCTCATCTATTACACCCACTATATCCCAGAATGTTTCTTGGTGAAACCCCCAGTTTTGCCGGCCAAAAGCCTCACCTCTCAGGTGTTGAAGCCTGATCAACCAGAAACGTACACAGGCGATTTGAACGCCTCGGCCGTGGCAGGGGCCCAAGGGCCCCTTGGGGGCGTTGCGGCGTGGCACTGGGATAGAGAAAGATCCCCCCTATAAATAGAGGTCTTATAGCTGGAAAACATTGGAAGATATGGGAAGAAAACATGAATAGATGTAGCTTTATAGCTGGGAACATCATCGAAGGAAATGAGGTATTTCCAGCACACCATGTTTGACTATCAGAGGCTAATACGTGAAGTGATACTGGTGATGGAGAATGATGAACAGACAGAGAGAGAGAGAGAGAGATGTATATAGAAAGATTGATGGATTGATTTATGCATTATGAGTTTTGAAGCTATGGGATAACAGTGCGAATTCAATGGGCTATGGGATAACAGTGCGAATTCAATGGGAAATCAATGGAATGGTGATGGTATAATATTGGAAACTACGGGACAAAGATTTGCTTCAATGATCTTCAATGTATAACGAGCCATTCTCGATGGCTTCATAGAATTTATGATGTTTTTGTTTTTCATGACCCAATAGTTGGTTACTGGGATGGCTAAAAAAGCAGTGGGTTACCCTGGGATCCCAAGCTCCCAATTGGCTAAGGCAAGGGGCCTACCATGTAAGGTACGGGCCATTCGTCACTAAGGAAAGTCGGAGAAGCATTGATGTAATTACCCAATGACAATTGAGAATTAAGCCAGACATTCGGAAAGAATGTGGGTTAATCAAACATGGCTGGACAGATGCAGTTGAGGGTATTGTTGAAGCCATCAGTCGAGGTGGATCCCGGAGACCGTGATGCCGTGTAGTCGGATTTTTTTTCGCGGATCGGGGCATTTGAAGCGATTTTTCAGGAGCTAGAGGAAGGTGAGTGACTTCGAGAGAACCAGGATGCCGCTTTCCATTCGTTTTTATCGAAAACTGGATTTGGAGGCCAAGAATCAAAAGACCTGTAATCGGCATATGGGCGGATTTCGGGCAAAGGCCTTATAGTGCAAGGCGCCGAGGAAGGTACAGGTTCCGGAAACCATGAAAGTTCTGAAATTTTGGGACCCCGGAAACGTGCTTCAAACATCTTCAAACCATCTACTACCTTCGGGGAATGGGTCACTCGTTTAGTGAGTCAAGTGTTTGCAATTCGTGTGGAAGAATCGTTCATATACCACTAGACCACTAGAAAGTCACTTATTGCAAGATATGTAATTACATGTAATTACAGTATTCAGCAACTATGGCAAGTACATCCCGAAATGCGTTCAAAATTGAACATTCAGAAACTTCCGAAAACAAGGAACCAAAAGCTGTTTGAAATTTGGTTGCTGTTTTTTTCATCCCCAGAATCCCAGGTTTCAGATCCAGCCAAGGTCATGGCCAAGAAGATGCTCCAGTTGGAAGGTGGAGCCGTGAATGGCTAGGTCTTGGACATGGAATGAATCCCCGCACCAAATGGGGGTTTGCTGGGAAATCCATGGTGAATCTTTTTGGGGAAGATGATGGTAGATGTTCCACGCCATACCGGGTATCCATAGATTCCATTTTGTGGATTCTGTTTCCACCTATTTTTTCTGGTTGGTGCTTTCAGCAGACAGCTTCAGATCTGGTTGTGGCGATCCCCATTGGAGCAGACTTTTACCATGGCGTCAGGCCAGCTGGGTGCAGCGGTGCAGCCCGGGAGCTCTGTGAACAATGAATGGAAGTTGTCGGTTCACATGTTTCCTGTTGGGTAAAAGGACATGTCAGGGTTGTATGATATTTTTGTCCCTGGGTCACATGAGAACTGTCCGTAGCCATGATGAAGTCAGTCTCTCTGGACCTTCCAGAGAGAAATGCCCAGTCAAGATTGCAATTTCTTTCAACTTCATGCCCAGTCAACGCAGTCAACGTCCAGAAATCATTACCCCAACTGCCCAGGTCTAGCTGGGTGCCAAAGTTGCAGCTGGCCTTGCCTGAATCTCAGATATCCCAGCATGAAGATGCAGGAAGCAGATGCAAGCAGGGCATTGGGGCAAGAAAAGGCCAAAACTGTTGGGAACAAACCATCATCTACGCCTCATGTTGAGATATGAATGAGATATGTTGAGATCATTTGAGTAGTAGATCATTCATCGATCATCGAATCATCTGATCATAGCTTCAACCCAGAAGTTTGATCATTTTCTTCGACTGGTGCAATGGAAATTTTGGTGGTTATATCAGCAACGCGATTTTGGTGAAGTCGAACCCGCAGATGGTTGATCGAAAATCCATGTCCAGAGCGGCATGATTTTGAAGAAGACCAGTTTATCACAAGATCCAAAAGGGGGTCTTCCATTTTTGCTAGGAATTTATCCCATTTGTTTGGGGCTTAACCGGCTTAACCCCAGTATCCGGCCCTAATGGTTGATTGTTTGTGGTTTGGACATCGACGGCTTTCAAGGGTACCTGTTTATGCCTCTAGCCACCCTAATCAACAGTGTTCTTTAATCTGGAGTTGACAAGGTTTGATGATGATATGGTTGAAATTGATTGCTAATCATTAGTTTATTAGATTATGATCAACCATATCATTTCAAATGAATCAATTGAATCAGCTATTGTTTCGGCAGCCCTTGCCCTAAATCTGTGGTGCCCCAGCCCTTCCGATGCATCGCATTCCAAGGGCCCGACAGCGGGAGCAGGAAGCCGAATTGGAGAAGGCGCCTTGGCGAATGGTGAAGAAATTGGAGAGTTTGTTGTGATTTTATCAATTCCCAAATGGATTGATGGGTCAAAACCTTGTACCCCTGCTAAACCCCAAAATAGCTGGTAAATGGATGTTCATCCCACTAAAAATGGTATTAATAGGTATTGATCCATTCCCAAATGGATTGATGGATTGATAGATGCAAACTGCAAGAGTCTATTTATCACTTGAATGGGAGTTGACTTCTCTATCTTGATGGAGGTGGCTATGACCAACCTGCTTTGAGGGGTATGTTTTGATTAGTTCCATGGTCAATTTCGAGAAGTCGGGTTGCAGGCTATTGTTGGGTTCACAATGGTATCAAAACAAAGATGAACTTGCTGGCAGGTGTCTAAGTGCGTAGTCTATCCAACATGGCTAATGGGTGTTGATGATAAAGGCAAGCTCGCGCCTAACTCTCATTGACAGAGTGGGTCGACCTACTTCATTGTTCCCAAGAGATGGTTATCCTAGTCTTATTTGTTTGACTTTGTTTGCCTAGTCCATTTACCTGCCAACTTTTCAACACATTCTTGCCCAAGCTTTCCAAGAAATGGTTCAAGGGAACAATTCCACATAAATGGGTGGTATTAACATGTATTAACCCCAATCCATAGTTTATGACATTGGTTTATGGTATTAGATGAAGTTGGTTATTTCGAAATCCCTATTAAACCCCATGAATTCCTATTAAACCCTATGAATCCCTATTAAACCCTATGAATCCCTATTAAACCCTATATATCAACTATATATCCCCATAGAATATCCGTGATACCCCCATTGAACCCATCGCAGGAAGTGCACCTAGCGCGGCTGCACTTGCGCCGCCTCGCACAGGATGTGGCGGAAGCCAAGCTGCGTCCGGCAACGCGGGGTGTTGAAGCGCAGGGGGGTGCCGTGGCCCGGTGCAATCAGCATAGACAAAATGTGGATTTTGTTCTGAGGTTTATTCACAATGGGATATATAGCATTCTTGGGTGCAATGCGATCTCCAACCAACTTCATATGACTAGCGTATTCTGGATGTTTTCTTGGATGATAAACCAATTAGATTCGAGTTGCTCATATCCAAACCGCCTGACGGCACCGAGGTCGACAGGAGCTTGAGGAGGAACAAGCGGAGTTCGTGCCCTTCGCCACCAAGGAGAGCAGAAATTTAAGCGCCACCAGCGCACCAGTTTTCACCCAACAAGTGGAGTAAACTTACCGGGCTAACATATAACGCATGTATTATTTATAGTCCTGTATAGTGTAAGCACACACATATATATATATGTAAGTATGTGTAAGCTTCTATGTGCATTACTGATTGCTTAAGACTACAGACACACAGCGATGGATACATACATTCATTCATACATGCATATAATGGGCCTTGATAGGTGAAGAAACGCTAGGCGCTGGGCATTTTCATGAGGCAAACCAATGACCCTTAAATTGGAAGCGAATCATGGCAGGACTTGCGCAACTCGGAGCGTGAGATCATTCACTTGCGTGGGGTACTCCAAAATTTTGTCAGCAAGATGTGAAAGATCCTCATTTGAAGTAATGTATATAATGCAGTTTAAAGTAATGAAATGTAACCTCAAAACAACTGTTATAATGCAGCGCAATACGATCTAATGCAACACAAACATAATCTGATGTGCTGCAATGTAATGCAATGCATGCAGGTCATGTGTGTATGTACATTTCCCCGTATGTCTGGGAATTGCATGTCATTTCCATGTCTGTGTGTGTGCGCGTGTATGTGTTCAATGTAAAAAAAGAAAAACAAACCTCGTTTTAAAAAATATTTCCATGTCACGTACAAGCACATCTTTGTTTATATGATAACGACATTCACGCTGTATTGATCCCAATCTTCTATAATCTCGCGGTTTTTGCTTGAAGCTCCATATGTCCCCCTAGTTTTCTCCATGTTTTGAAGGTAGCTTCGCTACGTTCCCATTGCTTCACGAATCGTGAGGAGTTGGAAGATGCCATGCAGCAGATGACCAATAACCGACGCGCTCCCGAAAGATGGGGGGCCCAAAGTTATGCCTCCGCTATTGTAACATATTATAACTATAGAACATAAGTATAGAACATATTATAATGTTTATAACTATGGAACATTAATGAACATTATATCATGTTTGATCTCAAGATTTTTGTTTAGAGAAAATGTCAGAAGATTCATGGCCAATGACCGAGATTTTGTTTATCCCATTGGATCCAGTTGCGTCATCAGGTCTCCGACGCTTGGTACCCCATGCGACACCCAGGTGGGTCAGTTCAATGGGAAGTTCAGGGCCCTACCATGGTGGTGATCTCAAAAATAGATCCATATTTGGTGGGCATGATACTATTATATATATATATTATATATATATGTGTGTTTATATATTTTTATGTACTGATATAGGTTGATCAGAGATTTATATCACAGATACTGAGCTATATTTTATGGGGATGTTACTTGACATATACCTTTTATAGATTAGATTAGATTAGATTAGTACGTTTACTTCAGGTACCGGAACTATCCCCTGATACATACCTAACCATTGTGTGTTAAGAATCTTGATCATACCCAGAAATTGGATGATACGCGCAGCAATGTTGATGTCAAGGGGTGGCATTTTGACACATCCATTGCTCGAGGATTCCTTGACAGATGCAGGTTGCACTTGCGCGCGCACATTTACTTGGATTTGCTGAAGATGATTCTTCATTCTTCATATGGTCAACCCTCTATGTCGGGAATCGACTGGCAAATTTGTTTGTTTTCTTACAGCCCCCTTAAGCAAGTCCAAGTTTATCCTTCCACCTAACCACGCCTAGTAAGAATGGATTATTGTGCCAGGAGCCTCCGCTTGTCGAGTGGGTTGGCCCGGGGCATCCACAAAAAACAGAGCCTTATGATCTGATTTGTGTGAAACAAACGGATAGGAATCTGCAACGCAGTTTGTTTGGGGGGTTCATTGCTTTATGTATGTTCCATGATTTTCCCTTCTTTCCATTATTTTCCCATTTGTTTGTTCGCATATTTATGTAGCCCGCACTTTTCCACGTCTCTCCGACCTTATTTTCTTGATAACCCAAAAATAGGCCATTCCAGCGCGAGAATAAACAGCTGGTGCAGGAGCGCTGCCTCAACGAAAACCACGAGGATGGGGGAAGTGCACAAGAACCGTGGTAGGATCCTGAAATGCAACAGAAGCACTGACACGATTAACGGTAAGAATTTGCTACACTACTTCATTGTCCGGCGTTGTCCAGGGTTTCTTTCGATAAAGATTTAACCAGTTTGGCCAGTTTTGAAGATGCAACACTTTTGGATGGTTTTGTTGTTCCGCCTGGCTGGAGGTGCGAAAACTCGAGTGTTTCCCCTACAGGGGGCTGCGTCTCCTGTCTAATCCAATGGCCTGGTGTTGAAAAACCTGTAGAAAACAACAACTTTCACCATCCATCTTGGCATCGCCGCAGGAAACGTGTGCCCAAAGCTGGCGCTGGCCGACCCAAGCAGCTTGCCACTCCAACATTTGGCAGAATCTTCGTGTAGATGCTGTTTTTTTGGGGTAAAATCATGGTAGGTCCTGAGATTTCTTGGAATTTTTCATAACCAAAAAAAGGCGTTTGCGTTAACAAACATCATAGTTGGTTGGGAATCTCCATGTTGGCTTGTTTCCAAGCACTGACTTCGCGTGGCGGCAGCTCATTGTGGGATCAATGGGCGCAATGGGCCCAATATATCCAGTAGGTCGACCATATTACTGGTCAGGGCTGATGCTCGTATGGTCAGTGGCAGCGTGCCACTGACCATCCTGGATGGCACCCCGGGAACAACTTGAGATTTCATTGGCCGTGGTGCCACCCAACAAAAATAGAGAGAGAGATGTCATGATGTGTCTATATGTGTCTTATTGTTGATGGATGTCCCACATTTTGTTCCACAAGCTGAAGGTTACTTTTTTCCTGTTGGAATTTGTACCCGAAAAGACTGGGGTGTCAAAGTTGGTGACACTTGGCTAATGAACGGACATCCCGTGCGGTTCAGCTGTTGGGTCCATCGCACAAAAAAATGCCACGAGCATGAAACACCAGCGCATGTCTTATCATGTGGGTTCAAGGCTCCCAAAATGTGTTTCATATCCATCGCTTCCTGTGAGACTTCCCTTTCATCACCTGGATGACCTTTTCCCCAAAGTCAGCGGTTCCAGTGCGTTTGCATAACAGAACAGGCGCAATTGATGTCCACAGGCAAACTTGCCATTGTTGGTATTTGAGCTGATGCCGGTCCAAGATTGCTTTCAGAAATCCAGCAGGATGTAGCACTTGCCAAGGAGATTCTTGACATAGCAATTCTTGGCATCGAGACATGTCACATATGGATCATTTCGGTATCATAACATGGGGCTCCTCAACATCCGACGATTTGTCAACGTGCGTCTTCACTTTTCGAACAGGTCATTTTGGAGGTGCCGACTTTGAAGAGAAAACTGAAAAGGTGCATGTTCCAGGAATGTTCTTGCAAACTGGTTTTGCCAAGGCCCAAGGTAAACAGCTTCTGTCTTAGTATGTTCTGAAAATAGCCATTGATATAGCCCATTTAAATCCATTTAAGACGATGCAATGAACGCCAACTGGGCTTGCCATGAGCCGCAGCGGATGCGGCCTGCGGCGACATGCACGACGCTTTGCGAAGGCCCGCTTATGCCAATCTGGGTCTAACCCCATCCTCCTAATTTTTCAAAATACCTCCATTTGCCCCCCAGAATGAATAGGGCAAGATGAGCAAGTACTACCGACCCTGCAGATTTCTGCAGGCTTCATTTGCCAAACCCAATTTTTAGCATGCTTTAGTTGAAACGGGACCAGTGGGGAGCAATCTTGACAGAAACGATGTGCTTCGCTTTGTGCTTGCAGAGATGTTTTAGTTCCCATTCTTTATGCGCAGGATGGTTCCAATTTGAAAAAATGGCTACCGCCCCCAATATTTTCAATATCTCATTCATCCCGTTCGATGGCAGAAACCCAACGGATTTGCTCAAAGCTGATGCGTAGCCGGAACTTGCAATGTGAATGTCAAAAGTGACGATTAACCAGTGAAATTGAGGGACCCCCTTTTCAGACAAAGCCTACAAGCTGGTACCCCCTACTTGTAAGTTGGTTTATAGTTTCTGTTTTTGGGTATAAAATCCATTCAACATAGCTATTTCCTTCCCATAAACCCAACAATGACATTAATTTATATCTCCATTTTTCCAGAAATTGTTAGTTACAATTGTTAAATCCCCCATGTGTGATTTTTATCTTCCATGTTTAACCTGTGGCACCTTGCCTCACGCAAGGTCGCCAACGAGGCTGCGCAGAGCAGCTTTCGGGCCTACTGGCCCGACAAATCGGCTGTGGTGCTGTCGGGCTATGGGCGGCTCATTAAGGACGGCCCTTAGTTGGGTCATGGTGAGGTAACTGGTGAAACTTAGGTGGGACCTATTTAGTTTTTAATGGTTAGAATGGTTCCAATGGTGGGACCTTGGATCCATGAAAAAACTCTGATTTAGTACTGGATCTATTCATTCTCATGGTGGTGTTTGACAAACAGGTAAATGGGATTACTGGATTAGCTGGGGAACATCCCTCTAAAAAAGGGTTACAATGGGAGATAACATGTGCCCACTTGCCTAACTCCAATCGAAGTGGGTCCAAACTGTGCCTCTTCGCTTCGTCCCCATCAAATAGGGGTCCCAATTTTCTGACAAACCAACATGGCGCCGCCACCCTGTTGGAACAGTTTGGCATTTTCATACATATATGTGTTTGCGAGGTGACATCACTGCAAATGATGTTTAGGAGAGGGGTAACTATCATTAACTATCCCTTACTCTCTTCATACAGGTTGTGAATCATTATAGTTGATCCAGATTTGTATGATCTACGAGTTATTATGAGTTATGGATTTGAAGGAATATCAATGTGGTAAGTGCAAACTAACATAACTAACAAACATAAGTAAGTAGTTTCTAAGGAGGTAAACTGCTGGGTTTGGGTGATGATAACTATATACGACTATTGCAACTATGAAGTTTAGAAACAAAAAACTAAGCAGGAAAACTTTATGAACCTGTATAAACCCATAGTTGCCATAGTTAACTTCTAAATTAATGTTTATCTGACTCATCAACTATAGAGGTACCGGCCCCTTTGGTATGCCAGGAGAAGGCTCACCGCAGCCAGTGGTTGGATGCCCTGGCGCTCTTCCACGGACTGCGCTCGACGGAGACGGGTCGAATGGAGATGTCGACCGAGGTGGTGCAGCAGGTCATGGCTGCCTGTGCCAAGGTGGGTCTTTTTGTGGGGCCCAAGGGGTGATGGTGGCCATGCTGGGGATTTAAAAAACATGATCTACCTGAGAGTTTGTTTGAATCATATGATGTTTTTATATGATTTTATGATATCACCATGGTTAATGGTGATTGAATTGATATTTAATGGGCGTAATACATATATATATAAGGGGTATGTAATGAAATATATGGCCAACAATATGTATTTGGATGAATTGTACTGACCATCGGTCTGACCTGACGTCACTGGAATGATGGTTACAGTCGTAGAGGTAAATATCCCAAATGGTCTTATTTCAGCTGTTTTCAGGGGTTATTGTAATCTATAGCCAGATGATTGATATGTGACAACCAAAGCTAATGGTGATTTGTATTGAACGGATATGTACATTTAAATCAAAAGCATTAGAACAATTAACCATCAAAATTGAGGTTGCCATATTTTCACACAAACCCATTCGGATAGTAATAGTGTCATGGTTCAACCAAGCTAAACCCTGCCAATAATAGATTGTTCATACGCCCTTATTAGTGGCTGTTGGTGGTTGCTAAGCCCTTTTGGGTTTGGATCCTACACCTGAACACTGTGGGTCACTCTCAAAGTGTAGAATTGCAGGAGCTATTGGAATACCAGATCCATGAGCAATCATGATCCTACTTTAATCCTGCTCCCCCGATTGCAAGGGGGATTATCAGATTGTTGGAACATTTCAAGCATACTCCCCAGTTCTTATTTGGAAACGGTAACAAATGGGAATTTCAGGGTAAATGTAAATATCAAACAACCTTATTTTGCTAGCTGGTGCTGCTACTTGGGTAGCTTTTGCAATACCAAAATCATAAGCCATTTGACATTTCACAGGACCAATGCCCAAACCGAATTATAGACCACACTGGATTCCGGACATTGGGTTGCCCATGGGAGGGCACAAAGTACTCACGTGGTAGGCGCGGAAGTGGCAGATGGCCCTGCAGCTCTTTGAGCAGCTGCCATCGTGGAAGGCCGGACACAGAGCTGACCCTAAGATTCAGTAGGAAGAATCACACAAAAAACAACTGGATTCTGGATAATGCCAACACCGGATTAATAACCCCCCCCCAGAAGGTCAGAACTCTACCGTGTAGGTCAGTTTCTTAAACCCCCCTTAATACTAAGCAACTCTGAACATCATCATGTTTGATATTTATGTGTCTCTGTGTTTTTTGAAGTGTCTAGTGAGTCTAGTGATAGTGGCGGGTAAAAAGCAGCCGAGATTCTGTAGCAGGTGGTCCCCAACACAGTGACCTACAACACGATCAGCAACGCTTTGTTGAAAGCTGGGTCGCTTGGTTATCTTGGTGCGGCACCAGAGAATCCAAGGGCTGAAGCGCAAATCAAATAAAAGATGGAAAAGTGTTCATTACGGAAAGGGTTGATGACGTTTGGATAGATGATTCTTGCATGGTTTTCAACTTAGATTGAACATCGGAAATGTTGGCGGCGACAAGTAAATTGAAATCATTTATTGCCATATAGCATTGTTGCTCCGAACCATTTTTGTTGGCTCGTGATCCACTTTATTGCTGGTCCTGCCTGCAAACGCTACCGCTCCAGTCTCCATATGACGGGCCATCTCTTACCGAGGCATTGGCAAGCCTCCCTTGCCTTGCTACACGAGGCGGGAACAGCTAAGCAGCTAAGCCTCGGTGCTGTTAACAGCTAAGCTCACTCCCTATGTTGGGCTTTCCAGTTGGGCTGGTAGATGATCCATTTTTATCCATTTTTGCTGTGCCAACATAGGAAACCAAAACTGCGGGTATTCAAATTTCACTATGGAGAAGCAGAAATAGCTCGGCCCATAGAACTTCGGCGCTGCAAAAGTAATGTTGGTTGGAAGCGCATTTCACCCGTGGCTTGCACTTTTTGAATCTTTTTGATACGTGTTCAGATGTGGATCTTACAACAATCCCGCTTTGTGGAGTTAGAGCTTAATTTGGGCTGGTCGTCAACTTTTGGTTGGGGTGAGTCCTCCACGTTTGTTGGTGAAACCATGACCTGGCCCTGGCTGAAGCATGCACCATCTACATTCCATTTTCTCGAGCAAAATGCGTTTGCACAAAAATGTGAACAATATTTTTCCCGTTGCTCTTGAGATTATTCAAGCGAGCTGATTTTTTTCATGACCATTTATAAATATATTAAATGTATTATATCTATAAGGAGTACAGGATGGGCCCCCCCAGTTATAAGTTGGTTTATAAACCATTATAATCCCCATTAACTATAGTTATATCTACCATAAACCATAGAATTCAGCCACTTATAAACCAACTTAGCTATCTTGGGGGCCCCATCCTGTATGTGTGTGTGTACATATGCCCGGCAGCATATATCTCCATCCTGGATGCGTTTTCCACCGCCGGAGGCCTTTCGCAGCCACTTCGCACCTACGGCTCGGGACCAATCCCTTTCTCCCCGCCTTTGGAGTGCGAAAAAAAAAGATGCAAAAGTGAATTATGATCTCTAAATATCTATAAGATTAGAAGGGCTAATCCAAAATTAGAAGGCCAATTATATCAAATTATGGCAATGTCAATTTACTTGATGATTTTCAGGGTTTATGATGGGTCAAGTTCATGAGGTAGACCCATAGACTATGTATATGTCTTAATAATGAGATCATCATTGATAATATGGGAGATTATGGTGTGGTGATGACAAACCATCCCCAATTGGGCTTTATTATTGGGCCACCAAATGATCTCCGAATGGATGGTTACTGACGGTTACTGGGATTGTTGTTCTTGGCTACATTGATTTTATAGTAGGTGGGCGCCTTAACTTTGGACTTGCATCTTGCATTCTAGATTTCAAGAAGTCCAAATGTACCAGGAAACGTTTTTGGATGTTCTGTGAGAAGCCCCACCTTTGCGTTCCAGCCGAATGTGTTACGAATTACCCTCTGGTAAACATACCAAAACCTATGGAAAATCACCATTTTGTATGGGTAAATGGTAAATAAACAAACTCAATGGCACTTTTCCATCGCAAACTCTAAACATGTACCATTTGCGCAACATCAACCGATGTCAACGGCCAGGTGGTGACCTTCAACAGCGCCATCGCTGCATGTCATCGAGGCCGGATTCAGCCAGCCTATGGGGGTTTCCATAAATGGAATAAACCCCAATAGCTGGATGGTTTATATGGAAAAAAACATCTATAAATGGATGATAACTGGGGGTGCCCCCATTTTAGGAAAGCCCCATATGTTGAATAGAAGACATGTTGATAAACCATGACATAGTGGCATACCTCATGCTTCGACAGTCGAAATGATCCATCATGATCCATCCCTATTTGCATTGGTAATGTTGACGAATCGGGCCAGAGAAGTGGAGCCACTGAATCGTCCATTTTTTTCCAACACAGGTTGATTGATGGTTTGCCTTGGATTTTGGTGGCATGGCGTACCCAACGGGGGTGCTGCATGGTGCAAATGTTTCAAGCAACCAACGTTGTTCTGGTCAAAATCAACTTCAAACTATATACTAAAATCATCTGCAACCATGAGTTTGTTCACATGGAAAATTTCCCCTTAAATCTATGGAATCAGAGTTTCCGTCAAGAAATTCTGTGAATTTCTGGGGCCATCACCAGCCCAAAGCCAGGCAGCCAGTGGCCTTTGGCCGTCTCATTGTCGGCACCTCAGCTGGTTTCCCGTGTGGAAGATGATCTACATTCATGGGTAAACTCCACATCTACTCATTAGTTTACTGGAGGTTATTTTTGAAGAATAACATCAAAAAAAAGTAAATTGCTAAATTGACTCCTAAGAATTTGCTGCGAAAAATAGTTGTGTTTCAACCAATTTTCCAGGTCGTAGTTCTTAAGAGCTGAAAGGTTTTGTTACTTGTCCCCTGGTGACTCGATGCTCCCCAAAGTCGAGGCTTCAACGGCTGTTGGAGAAGCAGCTCCGGTGGGGGTGCCATGGGGTGCCCACCAACGCACTTGGAGGGCTTAGGGTGTCCTATGGTAACTCTTACCCGAAAGGATGCAGAAAAGATGAATCTTGTCACATGATTTCAGGTTCGGAGAAAGGGTAAAAGGGTAAAAGTTGCCATTTATTGTTTTAGTAGGATTTTGAGCTGTATTAGTATGTTTACCAACGAGAATTAGAGATTGCAACCAGCACGATTGGGATAGAGCCTCAAACTTCAAGGATCAACTCACTTGGGAATTTGGCAAAGCACGTGGAAGCAAGGAAGCATGGGTGTCTAATCAACATAAAAGAGACATATCAGCTGGTTGGTGGTTTGGAACATGTTTTATTTACATATTGGGAATGTCATCATCCCAACTGACGAACTCATATTTTTCAGAGGGATAGGGCTCAACCACCAACCAGCCAGTCAACAAAACATGGCATTTTCAGGACAACCCGCTACACAACAAGTCTTGGAGGACCATCTGGTCACTCAGCATGGGGATGATGCTCCAAAGCTGCAGCTTGGTTGATATCTTTTAGCGCTTTAATGAAGTCACCAACCAACTTGGGTTTACAGACTCAATACTAACCCAAAGACTCTTTTTGATAAATTTGAAGTGGGGTGATTAGTGGGTTTACCATTTTACGCACACATTGACATGCAAGTGAACACATCACGTAAAGAGAGGCTCTGTGATGGTACCAAAACATTGTACAACACACATTCTATGAGGTGAGGACCGTCTGTTACAAATTGGCTTATAAATCCCACTAACTATAGTTAAATTCCCCTATCAACCCTAGAATTCACCTTAAGTTGTTTGCGTCAACATCTCGCTATCGTAAACGGAGGCCTTACCTTGTGCGCAGCGTGTAAACTATATCAACTGATGCGCAACCTGGCATGCCCGAGCTCCCTGAGCAACTGGCGCGGGAAAAAGGAGCCAGAAGTTATGATAGCCGGCGCGAAAAGCAAATGGTGCGCTTCCGGTCGGACAGGCGCCAGCCCGCACAGTGGCCGCTCACACTACGCTCCGTGGTGTGCCAGGCGTCTTCGGTGCCCGCACCCGCACCGTGGCCGCTCACACCACGCTTTGGTGGATGTTTGGAATCTCTGAAAGCTTAGAATGACTCACGTTTCTTGTGACTTTGGTCGGTGGCATTTTCCCAACAAACATCCAATGCTGAAACCACTCCCAGCACAACTTGTACACCTGGGTTTGGTTATATACTTAATACTTACTGGGCTCATCCTTTAAATATTTTCATGGAGGAATACCATGATATTCCACTAAAAACCAACTCAAAGACTGGTTAAATCATGGGAACTGGATCCCCGGTGATTTGGAACAGATGAAATGGTCTAAGAGTCTAACACAGTGCTCAGATAGAATTGCTGATTTTATCCAGCCCCGCCTGTTTTAAAATACCACCTTTTGATACCTTTTGTTCATGGCCTCCGGTTTTCCAGCAAGCCACGTTTGCAGGGTAAAACAAATGATGTGGGCAACCCAATGCCATAAACATTGGGGATCCAACTATCCCCAGGTGGGATTCCAACTATCCCCAACATACCATGTCCAAACTATCCATAAACAATGCCATAAAGCTATACAAAGCTACCACTTGGGGATCGTTGGAATCCCACCTGCCTGCCCGCGCTCTTTCAAACCATCAAAAAACCCAGGCCAACAGCGATCACCTGCACCGGCGTCATGGGCGCCTGCGCCAAAGGGACCCAGTGGTTGGAGGTGCAGCAGTGAAACAACAGGTGGGGATGGGTGAATACTAATTATATACTATATATGATATATATATATATATATATGTACACGAGATGATCATTGGTGATATACATAATATGTATATATATATATTCCATGGAAATGTATGTTTCATGATTTATGGGAATTGATCAAAACTTCTTATTCCCATGTTCTTCCCATATCAACTTGGATAGGCCATCAGCATCCTGGCCAAGATGATCCGACAAGTCGATGAGCCGCGCAGCCAAGATCCAGTCGGACGAGGTATCCAAAGTGGGAAAGTTAGCCAGTGATGCAATATGTCCATATAATTCATTAACAATTCCATGTATATATATATACCTGTGTGTGTATGTATATATATATATACACATAAAACTACGCATAGATATATAATCCCCAAAATTCCTGGCTGGTTTCAAACATGTGTTCTTCTCCGTCCTTCAGATGATGATCCCACTTGACCGTCATATTTTGGGTGTGGCTCCAACACCGAGCAGCTGGGTCGAAATTCGCAGGTGAACATCCCATCGATGATTTCTGGCAATTCCAATTGCTCATGATTATACAATGATGATGCAAATTCCGAGTGTGACATGTCGACATGGTCTAAAATGGAGAAAATCGATCACCCAAGTGAGGCCACGGCAGAAGAAGTGATGATTCTTGAGGTGACATTTTCGGTTTTGATTCATCCACAGTGCAATTTGTTTGCATTGGCATCGTGGCCTTGAGGTACCCGATGCCGGACTGGGAGAAGCCGTGGGCTCGATTGTGCCTTACCCGTCTTTTACTAATCACTAGTACCTGATGGTAACCTTCCCAATGGGTAGTCGTGGTTTATTAATCGTGGGTTGACATTAGATGGCGGGAACTTATTTTTTGGACAATTTTTGAGCGGAAGTTTTTATGTCAGTTTTCGGAGTGACCCCTATTTGTTGCACTTTCACAAATCCCTGGCATTGAAGGAATGGCGCTTTGGGTGGCTCAACCCAGAAATTTACCTCACAAGCCAGGTTGGAAAAACATCGCGGTGGAAATTGATTTCCAACCCATGGTTACAACCCAAGTGTAGTGAAGAAACAACCTAAGAGTTCAAATTAGTTCAAATCGAAGTTGCTGTTTTTCCCATGATTATCCCCATGGAATTCCTTTTTCTTTCGTGCCATGTCAGCCATGTTTTGTGGCGCGAGCTTCCCACCGATCTCCGGGCGGTGTTTGGGGTGAATCTCCAGCAGGATTTGACTGCCTACAACGCCGCCATCTCGGCCTGCAGCCAATCGGTGGATGCCTGGGATGCTTGGATTCTCCGACCCACTTAGTTTGGTTTGGTTTAGTTAATTAGTTAAGTCAGTTAGTTAACTACTATAGTTTGAAGATGTTAACAATATGACTATAAGATGATTACAATATGATTTGAATTGCGGATATAGTGATTTATCACATCATATAGCCCACTTGGAACAAGCCCATGGCCCATTTGAGCCGGTTTACCAGCTATAAAAGGAAGATCAGCAGAAATTGAAAGTGAACCCATATTTCGCTGAACGCTGGGAGAACCATGGAAATCTCAAATTTGATGCTTGATGTTGGTCTAGCTGGCTGGTTTGTGGTTTCAAATACTTGTTATTTCCGCCCTGTAATGATCCAACTTGGCGGTATTTTACGTATTTTGGGGGTTGAAAACACCAACCAGTTGAAAACCATGGAAACCTCCCAAAGTTGATGATAATTGATTGATAATAATAGTTGATCAATCATTGTTGGCCCCAAAAAGATCCCCATAGCTTTGGGGTGTCCTCCGTCTTCGGACAATCCAGATAGGCAGATTGAAGTTCGATCTTGTTTAAGATAGGTTAAGTATGGTTAGGTCATTGTCTGGATAGATATGCTATTTGCGGATATTTATGCATATTCCTGTCCTATTTGCAGCGAAGTCTACATTAGTGTAGCTTCAGCAAATAAATTCCATTTGTAGCCAGCAGCTAGACGCTTCGCAATATCAACCTCCGCCAAGGAGTTTGCTCTAGCGCTCGCCGCCTCGCTGCCGTTGCAGCCTGACGTGCCTTGGACCCTTGGAACCCCCCAATTCTCCAAACAAAAGCAGGTTCCGTTGAATTTATCTACCAAACTGGTATGGAATGATGTGGAAAACCATGCAAAACCAGTTGAGCAAAAATTGGTTCAACATGACAGAGATGTTCCGAATTGTCCAGGTGTTTACCTTAAGCGCTTGCAGGGTGGCTCAGTGAACAGGACGTAGCAGAAAGTAACGGGTCACAGATGGCCCGCTCGTGAACCAATGCAACCCCTCCATTTCTTGGTTTATTGTCTTACTTACCATCTGGTTATTTAGCATAGCTATTGGAAATGGCCCATTTATGAATGATTTACTTATTAAGAATGGTGATTTTGCATAGCTACTTTAAATAACAAGAGAGTATTTGCTCAAATAGATGCATAGAAGAATGAATTGACAAACGTACGTACGGTATAGTTCCATTGTTCTTTGGCAGCCATTTGTCCAGCTTTCGGGATGTCGGAATCCCAAAAACTGAGCCAGTGGTTGATGTGTCGCGCTTGTCAAGGTTTGACTGCCTGCCAGCATCGCTGACCTGCTTGAGACAGGAATCCTGCACTACGGACCATAACAATGTGTGCATCTCTGTCTGGCTTTTGGTATGTTGTGAAATGGCCATAAAAATCATTAAAAATCCATCAAACATCATAAAGTATCATAAAGTATCAAAATAGCACATGCCAAATCTTGTAGAGTTCCCCTTTGATTTTGGTACCTTTGGTACCTTTGGTACCCGGGACACCGCCAGGCGGTCTACTCAATGGATCTTGGCCCTGCAGAAGCTCCGACATTTCCAGCGCATGGTGGGATGATCTCAGGGAAGCTGTTGAAGGTTGCGTAGATTTTGGCGAATGATCTTGTTGGATCTATCAAAATGTGATAAAATGTGTATTTGCTGAATGCTGAATCTATCAAAACATAATAAAACATGTATCAATGTATCTCTTGATTTTAAGAAATTCTGTGATCGGTAGATGGGAAGAGTTCGAGATGGATCTGAAGATAGGTCAGGAGGTCAGTCTCCCAAGCCCTATCAGGCAGTAGCTGCAGGGATGGGATGAAAGAAGTTTTGGGTCCAAAAGTTTTGGCATATTCGAAAGTGGCTACAAGAATTATGATGCTAGCAACAGTATTATGAAAGTGGTTACTGACAATGACGGGAATGATGCTGGCAACAGTGGTAGCAATGACAATCACTTTGATACGCATGCAAATTTGTTTGTAGAGAGTGACTGTAAGTATGTGACGCAATGTATCCGAATGTAATCTGACACAATCTAGTCTAACCTATTCTAGTCCAGTCTGAAGTAGTCTAATGCAGTGCAGCGTGTAGGGCGTCTAATTGCATCTAATTGCACCTACGTGTCATTTATGCTTCCATGTGTAATCTATGTACGCATGTCCATAATGAATGCAATGTATGTGTATATATGTGTTCAATACTTACGTGCACAGATAGCATCATACAGCTACATGGGTGACTACCGTTAATACTGGATAATCTATGGTGTGGTTATATAATCACAACCTATGGTTAATCATGGTGTTTCACGTACCCCCTTTTTGGGGCATTACCCATATAAATCGTCACCATTCTTCGGATCAGTCGTCACCATCGCTCCACCGGCTCCAACACAGGCCATCGAGCCGGACCAAGTGGCCTATGGTAGCGCCATCGCCAGCTGTGCGGAAGGCAGTGTGACAGAAATGTCATGGTATGACATGAGTGACTTAGTGGTTCATGGATTTTGCTATGTTTGCATTTAGATTATTTAGCCATAGTTTGTGTCCTTCTAATTTGTGGCACAAACGTTCCGGGAACCGAGAACTTTTGTGACTTGAGAGCGTGTTCTTTAACAATTTGGACATAACCAATGAGACTTGGAGGCTTATCCTGGTCCTAGTTGCCCTCCCACTAAATTCAGAAATGGCAGGTTCGACAACCAACAAACGGGAATTTAGCATGATTTAGCATGATGTAGGTATCAAACAAAGGTGGGTTTCATCCAGAAAATTCGGATGTGTTTATCCTACCAGTAGTACCGCACAAGGCAGTGGCGGAAGTTTCAGAATAGGAAACCTATAGGAGACGTTGGTTGTTGTGAATCACGGATGGCAGAGCGAATCCACTGATTGACCGAAAGGTGGTTGGAGTTGTGTTTGCTGGAGTGGTTGCAATGGTTGCAGTGGTCACCTCACCCACAACTGCTGGATGTAGTGTGATGTACTGCAACTGTAGTTGTAGTTGTAGCGTACTGGAGTTGTAGTTGTGGTGTAATGTAATTAGTGTAGTGTAGTTGAAGTCATATAGTTGTAGCTGTAGTTGTTTTGTAGTTGTAGTTGTTGTGTAGTTGTAGGTGTAGTTGTTGTAGTTGTAGTTGTTGTTGTAGTTGTAGTTGTTGTTGTTGTTGTTGCTGTTGCTGTTGTTGTTGTAGTTGTAGTTGCAGTTGTAGCTGTAGCTGTAGTTGTTGTAGTTCTAGTTCTAGTTCTAGTTGTTGTGTAGTTGTAGTTGTAGTTGTAGTTGTAGTAGTTGTTGTTGTTGTTGTTGTTGTTGTTGTAGCTGTAGTAGTTGTTTGTTGTTGTTGTTGTTGTTGCTGTTGCTGTTGCTGTTGTCGTCGAAGTTAGGTTCGTTAAGTTAGTGAAGTTAGTCAAGTTAGTTAAGTTAATCAGTGTCTACTTTTTCGACATCTTAACGTCAAAAAAGGCTCAAAACCCGCAGTTTTTTACACTTTTGACTTCGAAATGTGCTTCGCGCCACAACGGCGTGCACTTTTTCCACATCCGAACCTCCAAAAGTGGCGCGAACATACATTTTGACTTCGAAATGTGCTTCGCGCCACAACGGCGTGCACTTTTTCGACATCGGAACTTCCAAAAGTGGTCCGAGAATGGTGTGTTTTGTACATTTTGCCTTCCAAATGTGCTTCGCGCCACAACGGCGTGCACTTTTTCGACATCGCAACTTCCAAAAGTGGTCCGAGAATGGTGTGTTTTGTCCATTTTGACTTGGAAATGTGCTTCGCGCCACTACGGCGTGCAATTTTTCATCTCTCATCTGGCCAGCTGGCTCCGCACCCGCCGCTTTAGCGAGCCTACTTTTCGACCCTCCGGAGCCGCAAATCATTGGAAAAACACAGTGTTTCGCGACTTTCTTACCTTTTCGCGCATCTGCATCTTCTTTCTTCTGATCTTTTCTCTTCTGACTCTTCTCACCTCTGCTTTTCAACTGTCCATATTGTCGGAAGTTTCACTTCTAAACTTCCTTCGATGATAATCTACTGCTGACTGAGAGATGGTTGCCCGAGGCTTCGATCAAGATGAGTTTGTTCAACTGCCATGTGGCTAAGTAGGAGTCAGATACGGCTGTAAATCACTGCCACCAACACCTTTTAAGCTCAACACATTTTGCGAACGGAAGAAGATATTGATTACCCTCTGGTTATTTAACATAGCCATTGAAAATCACCATTTTTAATAGGTAAACCATCTATGAATGGGCCATTTCCCATGGCTATGTTAAATAACCAGAGGGTAAGAAAGATTGTTGGTTCCAAAGATTTCACCTTCGAAACAAAAACACGGGACCAACGACGACATGGATTTCCTGACATGGCGAAGCCATCCATGAAGGCCCAGGATGGCCCTATGCCCTACACTTGGCAGATGCCATGATCCAGGCGGTGAAGAGCCGGCATGTTTTTCAGAAAATATCCTATCTTCGACTTCCAACATGGCGCAGAAGTTTGGAATCGCATTCCCTTGGTTAAGAAATATAGATTGGCAATTGGAATTATTCAACTAGATATTCATGGGGTTAGCAGCCAACTTATATTTGGGCGGCCCTGAAGAATTGGATGTTTTGCATTGACATGTTTGATTGCCAGAGAAGGTACCCAGAAGTCACTACAAACCAAGTTTGTGGCTTGTTGGTATTTGCACTCCCAGGCAAGCTGTGGGATCTGTCCAAAAAAGATTTGACGCCAAAAATTATGGAAGGTAAACTCAACCAATGAGTCATGAGTTGTTTTGGTCTTTGTACCGGTCTTTCTAGGTGAGGTGCTGGAACCGACTGCACCGGCTTCCCCAGCGGTGTGGCTCAAGTGTCGCTGTGCATCGCCATGACAGGGCGAGCCCTCCAATGCCGCCTGGTCATTGGGGATGACTTTTTTGGGTGTGACGGTATCCAACTTCCATCCTTCCCAAGTTTGCCTTTTTGTTCTGTTGATTCAGTTGATTCAAATTGCCATTCATGCCGGGTCATGACCAGTACCCTCTGGTTATTTAACATAGCTATGGAAGCCATGGCCCGTATAGATGATTATATAGAATGATGATTTTCCAGTTCGCTACGTTAAATAGCCAGAGGGTAAATGCCCACATTCACCGCACATCAAGGCTTCGGCTATGCCAGAGCCGACCGCCCCGATGTCTCCGAAAGCCACGAAAGCCACGATGCTTTTGCAGAGTTCTATGGCCGCTGGGCAACAATAGATGTTTAAGCCTCCAGCATATAATGTTAGTAAAGCAATGCCATAAACCAGCCATGTGTTGATGATTGAGAAACCACCCATAAAAATTGCAAATTCAGGGATGGTGGATCCTGTTGCTTTACCCACATTAGAGGTCATTTTAGCTGATTTATCCATCCACGTATCATTTCGTGAATGGTTCATCCTCAGAATCTCATGAATCGGATACCGCCATTTGCCATGGGATCGAGGCCAGGCTCAAGACATGGGGGGTTGAAACCACCAAGCATGGGCACCAAGCGGCAGGAAAAATCCATGTAAATGGAAGGGGTAATCTCCGTATATACCGTATATGAATCTTTTATATGTTTTTATGTTTTTTTTCATATCTGATGCAAATACATGTAAATGCACATGCATCAAAGTTGCTGTGCATGATGCATTTGTTGTTAGCCTTTGGATCGGCATGTGATTCTTCGGCCCTGGATTGACGGCAATGCTCGGGTGGATCCATATTGAAGCAGGGAATGCTGTGGACCTTTTTTTGTGCAAAATGATGTTTCTCATCTAACTTAAGCCACTCAAGATCATTTAATCCAATATTGTTCTATCCTATATGTTGTTCCCTTCCTTTATTCTGGGTCTCGGAGTTGTGCATCGTAGTTTGCCGAGCCCAAAACCGGAACGGAATCCCTACGCTGGAACCCGGGAACCTTGGAACCTGTGGTTGGGTTGCAAAGCTAGGTTAATCTTGCTTTACCTTATCCATCCATCCATCCATCCATCTATCCATTTACCTATGTATTTATCTATCACTGAGCGTTTTTTTTCACATGGCCGGATCGGTCTAGCCTCGAGGCTATGCAGAGGCTGAAGCACCAGAGGAGGTGAAACCTATGGACGCCTTCCAGGTGCCAAAATGTGCCGAACCAGTGGGGTCTACCGGTATACCAGGCATACCAGATATACCGTACCCCAAACGGCCATGTAAATATGGAAAAATTGTGATAAACCATGGGATGAACTGGGTGTGCCTTAGTTTCAGAGAAACGGTGTTTTTCATGGAGAACGACGATGATAAATTGTAGGAAGCCTCGTTGTAAATGTGCTTGATGGTTGATATCTTTTCTGGTTGATGTTTAATGAATGGTGCCCTTGGTCTGACGAAAGATGTTGGACCAAAAACCCCAGCTGCAAGACTAGTTGAGGGGGAGGAACGCCTGGTCTCATTGCACCGCCAGATTGGAAGCAAGAATCCGTGGGACTCAAGTCACCTATCCAAAATAAAAGTTTTATATAATCCCTTTTCCCCAGTATAAGATACTCCCAGACGGAATCCTTAATCCTCTGGTTAATACTGACCCTGTTCATGTTGGGCGCCCCTATGGTTGGTATTTTACATGATTGGAGACCTTGAAAATTAACCACAAAACCCAAAAATCTGCTCAAAAATTCCATAAAACCATATATCACTTGAAAAAAATTGATCCCAAAAATGATGGTCCTATTGGATATGGCCATTTTAATAGCTGAAAAAATATCACCGGTGACCGGTGACCATGGCCGCTGTGGCCCCAGGAGTGGTTCGGCTACACGGACGACAACGCGGTTCCGGTGACGGTGACCATGTACCTCCCCGACCGAGATCCTGAGCCTGGCGTCACTTGGCGCAAAGTGAAGCACAAGCTGTGCTAAATTCACGATCTATATTATATAGATAGAGAGAGAGAGAGAGAAAAAAAAAAAAAAGCAAAAGAAAGAAAGAGTGAGATAGAAATACATAGACTAGATTAGATTAGATTAGATTAGATTGATTAGATAGATTCGATAGATTGGATAGATTAGATAGACAGATGAGATTTGATTTGATTTGGTTTGATTTCATTAGATAAGGTTGGGTTAGAGTAGATTCGATAGACAGACAAATAAGTAAATAGATAGCTTGAGAACAAACCAAGTATCATTGGGATTATTTGTGGTGCATTAAACGATTCACCACCCGAAATACCCAATTTTGAAATACAGAAAATGAAATTGTGTTTTTAGTGCTAGCTTTCATAACTTCCATTTATTTCATCTACCCATCATCTACCCTTTAGCCTTTATGATGATTTTAAGCAAAAGAATGGGGCCCCCCGTGGCCCAGTGGCGCCACGGTGCCAGGAGTCGGGAACGTCGGGAACGACCTCACGACACGAACGCCTGGAGGTCGAAGCCACCGAGATGAGCCTGGCATTGGTGAAATCAGAGATCCAGGCAGACCGACCGCGACTCCGCGACCGTAAAAGTGTGAATCGAATGTGCATTTTTTGCGATGGACGCATAGTATAGTATGTATGTATATATATATATATGCAGTGTTACCTATAAACACTGCATTTATATATATATATATAGGCTATAGGTATATTTATATATGGTTATATATATATGTATAAATATACAGTTAGATTTAAAAATATATGTTTTAATATATATATATATATGTATGTATGTTCATTTATATATCTATTTAATGGCATGTATATATATATATACACATAATCATGGATGTGTAAATAGATAAACCAAATGCTGTCTCTCTATATTCTATATATATATATACATGTATATTGATTTATTTGTACAAATACCGGCGCTCCAAATGCCTTGGGGATGTGTTGGACCCGCCAAAACCAACCCGAAGCAGTGTTTCGGAAGGTGTTTGGAGCTGTAGGGATACTGTGCATTCATGGTAGTCGTCCATTTTTTTTGAACTACTCAAATATGGTGGCATTTCGGAACCTGTATGGTAGGGATTTGTCCTTCCAAATCCAATTTCAGTTTGAAATTCACTTGACAAGATTATGAAAAAAAAGATTGAATCATTGCAGCACAAAACGCATTGGCTGACCCGCATTTTGCCGGGCCAATATGGTGGAGTTTGATCCTGCCATTAGCGTTGAATCACAGTGAACTTTGATATAGGCTTTGGCAATATATGCTGTAGGGTTAACCCCCCATTTGATAAACCCACATTTCCAGATGCTAGGGCTGACGCTCATCCTCGGCCCGCGCTAGGAGAAGCGGCAACAGTTGTTGCTGGCCGACGCAGCGCAAGCGGAAGAGCTGCAACACGAGATCCACGCCGCGCGGCAGAAGCAGTAATGTCGTTTTACAGTGGGTCAACATACCTTACAGGACTAACCTTGTAAATTCAGACTTGGGCCTCCAAAATGGCAGTTTAATCGGTTTAAATGTGGATTCAGCCCTAGTAAATTTTGGATGTTACCAACAAAAATAGGGCTACAACCGCGGGGTTGGCAATCAGTAAGGATATTTTACCAACAACCGAACGAGGATTTACGATACAACCATTGAAACTGACGGGGGGGCTATCCAAAGATATGGAAATCACCGGCATTTTGGTTACCAAAAGTGCCGATCGGGATGTCTCACTCTTGGGGTTTGGGACCCCGATGTCGGTGGTCCAATCAAAACGTCTTGTAGGAATCCTGTAGAAATCCTGGAGGCTGAGAACAACTGGATGGTTAACGTCCAAAAAAAATGTGGTGCTCTGCCCAATATATCATTGTGTATATTTCAATCACCAGTTGACTCATGGTGTAAAAATGATATATATGGGGTGTGATTGTAATAACAATATCAATTTTACGAAATATTTGACTCATATATATGGGGTATATTGTTTATATCATGGTGTAAAAACCGGTCCATTTTCGAAATCTGTTGGGCAGCCCATGGATTCGCCCCATTCGCCCAGGAGTTGAAATTGCAACAGGCGCGTCTCGCGACAGCCCTGTGGAATCTCCAGAGTTGATGGTCCTGCGGTCTTGCGCGGCCAACGGGGCAGGTCAGACCCCCCCAACATCCCCAACTAATACATACTAATTTACCCTCTGGTAAACTAACATGAGTATGGGAAATCACCATTTTTTTACGGACAAATCAACTATCCATTGGCCATTTTCAATAGCTAATGTCAACCCCGGATTAATAAACCATTGTTTATTAATTAGGGGGGCACTCCTCCAATAGTCACAATCCAATACTTAAATGGTACCCCCCCAATTAAACAATCTAGGGGTTTATTAATCCAGGGTTGACATTATGTTAGTTTACCGGAGGGTAGACCCTGCCATTCAGCCAGGGGAAGGTGAGTTTCCACTAACGTTTGGCGATTTTCAGGCTCAACGTTTATTTTTTCCGGAGGGTACTGTAACAGGGATATAGCCGTGAAAAATGAATGATAGAAGCATAAGGATCACAATTTCTGGATTTGTCTAGAATTCGATAGAAACAGATAATTATAGTGTGTGGAAACAATTTGTGCGGGTGCAAACTTGTTGCTTTCAACTGCTCAAAACATCCGCCGAGTTTTTTGAGGTGCAATCAAAATAAAAGTGTCTATTTTGTTCGTAGAAACATCCTGATGTCATGTGTAACTTCTGGATGACACACACCTGGCCTCCCTTTTTTGCCCTGCGAGGGACCTTGAACATAGCCTTGGCCGGCAAAACCTGGTCATGCACCATGCCCAGGGGGCCTCCAATGGCCCCCGGTATTTTTTGCCGCCTGCATGATCCCAGTTGCTCAGAAGTGATTGGTTTGCAATCGTTTGAAGTATATTGATGCATATTGCATCATATTGACATGTTGCAACAGAAAGTTGTTGAAGCAGTTGGCGGACCTTGCAGACCCGTATTTGAGACAAAGGATATTCCATGAGGGGCGGAGGTTGTTTGATACCTCATATCCATTCATATCCAACATACAAATGATATATCTGGATATCAGCATTCCAAGTGATATTCCATTGGATTCCGTACTTTTGCTGATATCCAAAGGTTTTTCATTGAGCAACTGGGCAGTTGGAGTCTCAACTGTAAATTCACTGCTCGCCGGCCTGCGGTAGCAGTGCGTTCCATGCTGGTCACAACCAGTCAACCGCTGCACAGCCGCGGTTTCCCATGGAAATGGGAAAGTCTTATGAGCCCTCGGAATCAAGGCACAGAAGCTTCGTGAAAACAGAAGCTAAAATTCGGGTGAAGAATGAAGACAAATTCAGCAGTTCAATATGGAAGAGTGGAAATTCTAATTGTGACAGGGTTTTCTAACTTGCCAAATCTTGCCAATCAAAAAGATTCAAAAAGTAACCAGCTGATTTTGCAGCAGGGTTTGTCCAAAAATGCGGGAACCCCCAGATCCGCACTTTGGGATTTTGCTGGGAATCACAAAGACAGTGGGAGCTCCCCATTTTTGGACAAACCTCGGAGTGGTTCAAACCTTTGACATTTTTAAAGGGCCATCGTCTCACAATTTGCAGTGGCACATGCATTTGCCAAAAAAGTTGCTTTCCTGCGGTGCCATTGGTTGATTTCCCGCCGGCGAGCTGTTGCTTTTGGGGGAAGTTGTTTGAAGCAGTGGCAGATAGTGGCAGTACTTGTAAAGCGTTTCAGGGCCCCCAGATCTTGACATTAATCGATTTTCTGACAGATTGAAATAGGCAAAGACCGAAGAAGTAAATAAAACTCCTTGGGCGAATGGCGGGTCATTCCTGGTGAGAACAATTGTGCTGGATAGCAAATCTTGGCCCCAAACCCATGGTTTCAATCCCAGTTTATTTGGCTAAATACCCATCCCAACATCTAGAAAGTCATTTTGTAATCTTTTCCCATTCGCAGTTGTGCCTCAAAAATGGAACTCTGGCCCGCAGGCGAAGTTCAACACAAACAACATCGTTTGCAGCGCATGGGGGTCCAGCTTCGGGGATGACAGTGTTGCAGTTCCCTACGTGAAAACACAAAAATAAGAGTGGCTGAAAGGCAGCAGAAAGAAAGTCGGGCTCATGAAATGCAAAAGAAGCTCCATGCAGTTGTCTTCAGAGATGCATGTAGAGAGCGACAGAGAAGTAGAGACAGGTAGGGAGGGATGCGTTTGATGTTTTCCTCTCCAAGAGAGTATTGTATCCATGTTTGGTTAATTCGTGAATCTTCGTGACCTTGGCGACCACGTAAAAAAATTAAAGGTTTAAATTCTAGCCTCGGGGGCTGATAGACACTGAGAAATGATCAAGAGTTTTCAGTTGACTCCCCGATGTCCATGAGGTTTAGCCAGTCGCAGCTAGAGGCAACCCCCAATTTTTCTGGCTAACAACCCTTAAAAAAAAGTGGCAGATGATCTTAGCACCTCCAAAATGGCTCTATCAGTGGCAAACCTTTGATATGGGACCAGATTTCAAACCTAAGAATTCCTTACCTCAGGCTTCAATTTGGATTGAAGATACCCCGAATGATGGTCAAGACAGTCATCATACCCAGCCTCACGTGCATCACTTGAGGATTTTGGCGCCCATGAAAGTGTAAGATTACACCAATCACCCGAAACCCTCATTCACTTTCCATGCTTTCCGCAGTAGATCCAGCATTTATGAAGTTCATGTTCAATTGTGACAAGTGATATCATAAGTACCAGAAGAACCCAAGTTTCTGAATGAGAATCCGCAAAGAAAATCCAGTTCCATCCAGAGGTCTACATATCCACTGCTATGAGGCGTTGATCATGGCCTGTGAATCTGGAATGCCCCTGGACGAACAGTGATGCAGACGGATGGTCCGATACTGGGAAAAAGTGATGAATGGTCAAAATTGCTACGATAATGAGTGTTAATCCCATATTCATAGATCCCCAGAAGCTTTGGTTTTGTCCTGCATCCATATAAGAATTGAAAATTGGGAACAATTTCAGTGGTTTTTTCGTGCAACTCCTCACGCTTTGGTAGGTCATCGTTGTTTCATGTTGTTTCTATTGCTGGCGGTAGAGCTTCATTTTGTCAGGGCCCAAACTCCTAGACATAGCGGTAGATGATTGCCTTTTTTTTTAACTCAGGGGTCTTCCAGACTATTCTTTGTGGAAAATTCGAATATCATTGCCGCAGGCCCTCCATGGGATTCGAATGAGATTTCGTACTTCAGGCTCTGGACCCAAGCGCTTCAGCTACTCCAAAGGCTGGGGAAGTCCTTCTGGACCTGTATTGATTCTAGCGATGATCGCTGGGGAGAGTATCCCAAAATGGCCCCTAAACCACTCTTGGAATGGAGTTCGAACCTGATATTCACCACCATTTCTGAAACTGTCGAATCAAAAATAGCAGGACTCGTTGTTGATTTCACTTATGTCTTATGTTCCCCCCTTGGGCCTGAAACCCCCAATGGCGACCAACCAGATTTTACATAGTTCACAATAGGGGGGTATAGGGGGTGTAATTATGAAATGTCCTTATTTTGCCAGCTTCCACAATATAACCCCCAATGATAACCCACAATTTTTCCACAGTCCAACCCAGATAATAAGTCAAAAGAAACATATCATAAACCCCAATGACTACTAGTGCTTATTATTACTAATTGATATTCCATAGTTGTAATCACCGAATATCAGTAGTTATTTCCATATTATCATGAATTGCCTTAGCATTATCGCTAGTTGTTTTTACTTGGAAAAAACATCGTTGGCGCTGGCAATTTGATGTTGTTCCCCTCGTTTTCTCCAGGCAAGAGTCGCGAGGCGCTGATTTGAAGACCGTCAGCAGCACCATGAGCGACTCGGCAACTGAGAGACAGTGAAAATGGGACCTTTTGGGGTTGGTTTGACCTCCAAAATTGTCTGATTATGTCTGGTTTCTATAGTTTGATTCCATGATATTTATGATATGTTGATAAAATTTATGTATGTATATGTTATTAGAGGTAGCTTTCCTTTTAATGATGTCTTTTTCGGGTCTAGATCTGCCAAGCAACTCACCTCAGGTGCCTGTGGCGCGGCCTTTCGGTGGGCTCGGGCCCAGGTGAGATTTTGGATGAAAAGCTGTAGCGAACGGCTTTTCAATGGCCATTAATGATGGGATCTATGGTGATTAATAGTGGTTAATAATGGTCCATAATGGTTTTCATAGTGGCTAATAGTGATTAATCAATGGCCATGCAACAGGAACCGATTCATTGGAGGTACCGATTCCATATTAATAAGGCCTATTTTTCAGGCCTATGTTTCAGGGAATATCCCCACAAAGTAAGGCCAAACATATGGTACGGTACCTCCATTTTAGGAACCTGAAATTCCCATTGAGCTTTTGGTGATGAAATAGCTATATCATTGTTGGTTTTACGGTGGGAAACTTTTAACGGAGACCACCTTGTAGTTGATCATACATTGTCGGGTATGCCCCAAATGGTTGGTCATGGGGATGGTCTACTATTGTGATTGTTGGCTTTGCCACATTGGAAAAGTTGGAAACATGCAAGAGATGATGTAACGTGGGGTAAAACAATGTCATAAACCACCCATGGCTAGGAATGGTTTATACCACCTGTTTATGGTGATAGGGAGATGGTTTTTGGCATTGTTTTACCAAAATTAAAAGATTATGTGCAACATCTTGGAGTTTTCCTGGCTGGATGGTCCGATAAAGCTTCTTGAGTTTCTCACTTGACCTTTTTGCGAAACTAGGAGCATGGATAGCATGGTAATGTGTTTTTCCATGACATCTACCATGGAAAAGATGCGGTTTTGTGGTTGCTAAAATGTCTCCAACTCGGAGGCCAACTGTAGTCCTGAGGCAACGACCTTGGATCTTCTGTCACAATTGCCTTCCCGCACCTTGAGGCGCATGGTGCGCATGTCCTGTAGAAATCGATTGGTGTTTCAAGGCCTCCAATATCCTCCAATTCCCCAGCTTATCCTGACGATTTACGGGAATTTATATAGGTGTCTTTTCTTGTCCATTCCCGCTTGGAAATTTGGTATGGTGGTGTGCTTCCGTATTGCTTTGGAATGAATGGCTCAAACCAGAAATGACTATATGGCACGTGTCAAAGCTACCTGTGAACTTGGCACACAGATTGGGTCTACCCATTGGGGATATCAAATCGGAGCATTCCAACAATGAGATGAAGCATGTATTCCTTGTGGTTCCATCGACTTCAAGTGGATTTGTTCGAAACTGGAGAGCACCCGCGAACTTGCAATCTTCATAACTCATAACTATCAAAATGATGTTTAACCATGTTTAACCAGCGAATTTGGGAGCAACCTATTTCAGACAAAGCCAATTAGTGGATCAAATCGGAATCAGTTCTGATCATTAAACTTCAGAGCAAAATACAGTCTTGCATCGGTAAAACTGATTTTTCCTCTGAAAACAGGATACCCCTGATTCCATTGGTCAATCATCGTTTTCCCATTCAAATTTAGGATTTTAGAGTTATGGGGGTATACCATGGTATACCCATATCAGTGACGTTCTTTTCCCCATGTTATATTTTTTTGTATAGTTTATATATATATATATATGTTTGTATATATATATAACATTATATAACTATAACTATATACATGTATAATATAACTATATAACTTACTATATACCTATGTATATATATATATCGAAAGCGAAGAGCATTTCTGGGTTGCTGATCTTGCTGACCGCCCTCACTAGGCCTGACGAGGTAACCTATGGCGCTGCCATGGGAGCCACGGCTAGAGGCACTCAGTGGCTCAAGGCAGAGAAATGCTGGGTTTTTGTCGTATCTATGGGATTTGCAGGACCTCAAATTGGAGGTACTGTAGTATTGCTGTAGCATTTTTGCTGGCCATAATTTGGGGGATATTCCAAATATTCCCTTACATAGGCTTCAAACAAATGGTAGATAACTCCAGTTTAGGTTCCTGAAACGGCCATTGATAAAGTCAGGTGATGAACCCTCCAAAAATAGGACTGTAACATATTGTAACATGCTGTAACCTATGAATAGTGGATATATAGGTGTGCCCAAGAATGTGGGATTTATCCCCGACTTTTTTGGCCTTTTTTGGCCTTTTTAAAAGGCAAAATCATGATGAAGCATTGGGATGAGATTGGGTTTCACATTTTGAGATGACTCACGCCATAAGCAGAACATATGGATGTTACCTGAAATGGGGTACCCCCAGTCATCATCCATTTATTAGATGTGTTTTCCATATAAACCATCCATTTTGGGTACTCCCATTTATGGAAACCCCCATATGATGTGATCCACAGGTCTCCCACAGGGAAGATGTCTTTGGATCAAGCATTGGCAATGACGAACCAGCTCCGGGAGGGTGGTTCTTTGCAGCTTTTGGGGAAACATATTGCTACCCTGTTGATGCTGGTGGGTTTCTGCCCATGTTGGGGCACCTTAGGCAGCAAGGAATCCCAGGGATCACCAGACATGCATTGCTGAGCAAAGCTAACTCAATTCCCGTTGAATAAACTTCAATATCGAATGCATTTGCTGTATTTTCCCGAAATTAGGCCACGTAAATTCCTAAAATTATCCCATGACTACAAGGTGGTACCCCCCCCCCAGTTTGGCTTGTTGGTTTGTAAACCTCACGAATTGTTTAATATGTCCCCTTGAAATAAACCAACTTGGCCAACAACTGGACACCACCAGAACCGTTTTGGGGATCCGAACGGTAGGCCGTTCGATTCCAGGAAAAACCTTCACTGACCTTCACTTCGAATTAAAGAGGGAGCCCAAAAAAATCAGCCAAGGTTGATTATTTCCATATCTAATATGGAAAATCATCTGATGGAAATGATAATATTTCCATATCTTTCCAGGAAAAAAAACATTCATTCTCCCATTTCCATTGCCCCTGAATTTCCCGTGTGTTTCTTGGGGATTGAACCCGCCAGCCCATCGGCTCGAAACTCTCGCACAGTCCTTGCAGCTGCTTGACAGCATGCGACAGAATCAGCTGGCGCCCAACGTCTGGGAGCCACGGCCCGTGACATGGAGAGCACAGTGGCATTTGCTTATGGACGAAGAGTTGGAATTATCATGAAATATCCCACTATATATGTGCATATACAATATATATATATATATACGATTTTATGTGTATTTGTGTGTGCATGTATGAGATCCATTGGTTCATCATCACTTTTCCAATGTCGCTTTTTGTTTTTGGGTGTACCTATTGTCAGACACACCCAAATATCATGTTGTTGGCTTGTTTTGTCCCGTCACATCCCATCTTCAGTTCCCATTCATAGATGATGCCCCCTTTGTATCGCATTTTAAAGAACCCATTAGTTCCCCATAAAAATATTGAAAGTGGTGGTATCGAACATGCTTGCAACCTATACATTTTGGGGTTAGGTTGATACCGCCGACCAGAATAAATACTGTGTCCGGTAAAAATTGATTCGCAAAAGCTCACCTACAAAAAGCCCCAGGTCAAAATTGAATTGGGACGCGACCAATACAAACGCCCGTGGAATCTAAATGCATTCTGCGAATTCAAGCGGGAAGAGTGGAAATGTGCTTGAAACGAATTGGGATTTGACAAAGGTCACCTTCAAGCAGCGCATACCAAAAGGCCAGGCATCGTAACTGGGACGAGTTCATCTGAAAAACCGGTGGTCCTTGTAGCATGGCAACCCCCCAAAAAGACCAATTTACCGCTATTTCGGAAGGAAACTTGGAAAACATCAAAAGACTGCAGAGAAGTTGGTTCTCTTGGGATCTC